ATAGGGGGCCAGGGAGCCTATTGCAGCCACAGCACCAGCCAGACTAAAAAAAGTTGCTGGAGGGCCTGCACTGTGGCTCACTTGGTTAATCCTCTGCCTGCGGCGCCAGCTTCCTATATGGGCACTGGGTTCTAGTTCCGGTTGTTCCTGTTCCAGTCCAGCTCTCTGCTGTGGCCCGGGAAGGCAGTGGAGGATGGCCCAAATGTTTGGGCCCTGCACCCACATGGGAGACCAGGAGGAAGCACCTGACTCCTGACTCCTGGCTTCGGATCGGCACAGCGCTGGCCGTTGCGGCCATTTGGGGAGTAAACCAACAGAAGGAAGACCTTTCTCTCTCTCTCTCTCTCTCTCTCTCACTCTCACTGTCTATAACTCTACCTGTCAAGTTAAAAAAAAAAGTTTCTGGAGTATTGCCTTCTCTCACTTTCAAAATAATTTATTTAACTTCATTTTTATTTGAAAGAGAGACAGAGAGACCTTCCATCCACAAGATTGACTCCCTGAATGCCTGCACCGGCCATAGCTGGGCCGGGCTGAAGCCACTAGCCCAGACTCATTCCAGTCTCCGCTGAGTGGCAGAGATTCAGCTCTTGAATCGTCACCTGCTGCCTCCCAGAGTGAGCATTAGCAAGAAGCTGGAATTGGAAGTGGAGCTAGGATTTCCGCTCAAGCATTCCAGTATTGAATATGGGTATTTCAAGTGGTGACCCTCCCTTTTCTTCCTGATTTTTTATCTTAAATTTTGCTCCAGCTCCAGGACCTGATTTAACTTTTTTCTCCCAACTTGAAGTTGAGAACATTGCAAATTTTAAACATTTTAGCATATCCCATTGAATTTGGGGACCTTTTCTCCTCTCATCAGGAGAGAACAAATAATGAAAGGCATTACCTGGGCTATTGTTTTTTTCCCTCGCTTTAGCCAGAGGGACCAGAAACATCTGAGGAATTCAGTAAGCCAGCTCTCCTGGAGTTGACTGTCATTGTGTAACTCCACAGATGATCTCTGCCTCTCACAGCAGACAGCAGCTCAGCTGCTGCTTCATACCGCGGATGACCCCATGACTGCATCAGCACTGAGGAATCGTCATGCCCTACCCGTATCTTCCTCTTCCCAAACCTTGCTTTAGCCATATTTCTGTCATCACAAGTGGGGTAACAGCTGTGTTGGGGGTCCCCACAACCATGCCCAGGTTTGATGATTTGCTAGGAGGCTGCAGAGGAGCTGGCATGCAGTTATGTTCACAGCAGTGAAGGGATGTGAAGCAAAATCAACACAAGGTAAAGGTGCAAGGGTGCAGTCGGGAAGAAACAAGGCCCAAACTGCCAGATGTCCTCTGCAGGGGAGTCCTCTGGACGCAGGTGATTCCCCCAGCTGTAGGCTGTCAACACATGTGGAATGCTGTCTACCGTAGAAGCTCTTAGAGACCAGTGCCTGGAGTTTTTACCAGGGATTTGTCATATAATTGCCTTCTGCCTAGAATTGTAGACTGCCAGAGGGAAACAGATGTTAAGCATAACCACATATTTGTACAAACATTTAGGCATAGGGATTCATTTCTATAAATTAGAATGGTGAGAACTCTCCTAAAATCTGAGTCCACAGACACCAAGGGTCTAGCTTACAAGCAAGCCTATCAAATGATAACAACAGTGGGTTGTTTTCTGCAAATCACCTCATAAACAATTGCTGAAAATAAATGAATAGATGGCCATCAACCGAGGAGTGATTACTTTGTGGTAATTCTATATTATAGCCATTGTAAAAGGAAGCTATTTTCAAAGGTACATATTTTGTTGCAAATAGTAGAAAATTCTTCAAGCACAGGCAGAACAGGGGTTTATTTGGCTCATATAACCGGAACTCCATGGATAGGCAGTTTGGGTCTTATGCCATCAGTGACTCCAGGGTGTTCTTTTCCCCTTTGTTCAGCCTGCATAGTAGATTGACTTCTCATGTTTGTTGTACCTGGTAAACCTAATGGTGGCTATACCTCTGAATACAAAAAATATGTAGGAATGAAATGATCATTTTGAGATATGGTTGTCATTTTTAGCCCTTGTTTATACTCCTGTGGAACTGTGGTATTCCTACCTTTGTTAAATATTACGATTGGTGGCAAATTAAGCCTGTGAATATACAGTGGATTAAAATTATGTCTTTGCAAAAACTGATGAAGAGGGGAAAGGAGGAAGGAGATTGGAAGGAGCAAGGGATTGAGGGAAGTGTGCTTTTCTTGGAGTACATGAAATCTGTTCTCTTTATATTAATAAAATAATTTTTAAAAAGAAATATTACTCCTGTTTGGAGATAAGAAAGTTATCTCTAAATAAAATTATAGATAAAAAAAGATTATTTTGCTCAAAATGCAGTTAGGAAGTGGTAGGATTTGCATCAGGTGTTCTGACTCTAGAACCTATACTCTTCATCAACAAGCTTTGCTACCCAATTAAAGTCTCCAAGTAAAAGCAGCCAGTGAGGGTGGGCGTGTGACTTAGCATCTTAAATGCTCGTGTCCTGTATCAGATTACCTGGTTCAAGTCCTAGGTGCTCCAGTTCTGATCCAGCTTCTGTGAGCGTTATCCTGGCAGGCAGCAGATGATGGCTCAGATAGCTGAGTCCCTGCTACCCAGGTGGGAGTTCCAGGTGGCTCTAGGAGGTGAACCAGCAGATGAAGGGCATTTGCCTGCCCCCCTCTCTCTCCCTCTCTGTCACTCTTTTTAAGTAAAAATAAATAAATAATAGCAACAAATGGAGTTGACATGTACTCAAATCTATTATGTGGGATTCTAGGCTTTGTCCTAGCCCTCTGGTCTCATCTACCTCTCACTTGATGTTCTTAGGCTTACCCTTGGCATCAACTGCTATCTATGTGCTGAGAATTTTCTCCTTACAATCAAAAAGATGTCTAACACATTTTCATTTTTTAATAGCCACTTGATACATAGCAGGATCAAAACTTAACATGTCTCTCTCTCTCTGTTTCCTCCCTACCCAGTAGCCTATCCTCCTTTAGCATTCTGTACCCTAGTAAGGGCAGCCATCTACCCATACCTGAAGCCCAATACCTGGCAGTCTGTCCTCTTGTCCACACATCTAGTCCACCCGTAAGTGGTACCAAGTCTACATCCTTAGCATCGCTTGAATGTGCCCCTGTCTTTGATTCCATTGCCCTTCCCAAGCTACTGTTACCTTTCAAGTAGACTAGTGTCTCAACCTTTAAACTGATTTCTTTCCTCCATTCCATTCTCCACTTAAAATTCCTCAGTGAGTTTCCTTTGTTCTCAGGATAAAAGTCCAAATTCCTTATTAAGACTTAAAAAGACTTGGGGGCTGGTGCTGTGGTGCAGCAGCTTAATGCCCTGGCCTGAAGCGCCGGCATCCCACATGGGCACTTGTTCTAGTCCTGGCTGCTCCACTTCTGGTCCAGCTCTCTGCTGTGGCCTGGGAAAGCAGTAGAGGATGGCCCAAGTCCTTGGGCCCCTGCACCTGCATGAGAGACCAGGAAGAAGCTCCTGGCTCCTAGCTCCTGGCTTCAGATCGGTGCAGCTCTGGCCGTTGTGGCCAATTGGGGAGTGAACCATTGGATGGAAAACACTCTCTCTATCTCTCTCTCTCTCCCTCCCTCCCTCCCTCCCTTCCCCCCTCCCCTCTCTTCTCCTCTCCTCTCCATGTAACTCTTTCAAATAGATAAATAAATCTTAAAAAAAAAAAAAAGACTTATAAAGAACTCCCTACTCTGAATTCTGCATGATCCTTTAGCCACTTCTCTTGTCTATTTTGTTACTCATTTGATTCACTATACCTTGCTGTTCCCTCTGCCTGCGGAATTCTACTCACCGTACCCCACAACCTTTCATGCCCTCCATCTCATGCACATTCTTGGAGGTCAGTCCCAGGTTCCTGACAGTCGAGGCTTCTGTTCTGTAACATCTGTACACTAATGCCTCTTTCCTTGCTAGGCAGTAAGTTCTGTGTAGCAGAGACCTCTGCTGCACCTCATTTCCAGCATCTGGCGTAATTCCCAGCACCTAGAGATACTTAGAAAAAAAAATCCTAGAGTAAATTAAAGAGATAAACTCTACCCTTAACAAGTTCAAAGTCTAGCAGGAGCTAGAATATGATGAAAGATAATTATAACCTCAGTACATAAGATCAATACTCTTATAAAATACTGTGGGTCACAGAAGAGTATGTAAGTGATTAACTTTGCCTAAGGGGCCATTTTTCCTTTATAACTTCATATTATTGCATAAATTAACTTACAACACTTAGGAAAAAAAGAGTTGTGCTCATAGTGGAATTAATTCAATTGTATTTGGCCTTTTTTTTTAAGATTTATTTAATTATTTGAAAGTCAGAGTTACACAGAGATAAGGAGAGGCACAGAGAGAGAGAGAGGTCCTCCATCCACTGGTTCACTCCCCAGTTGACCACAACAAATGGAGCTCCACTGATCCGAAGCCAGGAGCCAGTAGCTTCTTCCAGGTCTCTGCGTGGATGCAGGGGCCCAAGGACTTGGGCCATCCTCTACTGCTTTCCCAGGCCACAGCAGAAAGCTGAATCAGAAGAGGAGCAGCCGGGACTAGAATTGGTGCCCATGTGGGATGCTGGTGCTGCAGGCTGGGGCTTTAACCCGCTGCGCCACAGCGCCAGCCCCCCCCCCTCTTTTTTTTAAGAGGCCTTATATTTTGCTCATTTGTGGGGCAAGAGTTCTACAGAAGACTTTTAACCTTCTAAGGTTGTATCTAAAGAACTTGAGAAAATTGCTTCTTGGCCTTTTGGCTTAGGTCCAGTGAAGAATTTCAGTCTAAGCAAGATTTAGTTGCAGAGTGGTCAATTAGTCATGCTCACTAAATTGACTTAACCCAAAGTCATCCCTAATCAAAAACCCTCTTACATTCCCCATTACAAATTTTACATTATGAAGGCTATAAAGTGTTGAATCCATGTATGCTAGAGGTGCTGTTCACATTTAGATTTTTATTTCTTGTCTTTCCAGCTTTGACTGCCATTGAAGGCACAGCCCATGGGGAGCCCTGCCATTTCCCTTTTCTCTTCCTGGATAAGGAGTATGATGAATGTACAGCAGATGGGAGGGAGGATGGCAGACTATGGTGCGCCACAACGTATGACTACAAGGCAGACGAAAAATGGGGCTTTTGTGAAAGTAAGTATTCCTCGGTAGCTTTGTGTTTTGAGCAACATTCTGAAGGCCTTTTTCTAGCATCTTTTCTTCCTTGGTCTTAAGTGGTTTGTGTTGTGACATGGTTGTAGTCTTAAGGAATGATTGTAGGAGCTGGCAGCCTGTAGTGTATTTATTTCCAGGCTGTGGCTCAGCAGTATATCACATCCCTGTCTTGTTTAAAGGTCTTCAGTTGGTGTGCACAGGGTGTTCTGTAAACACATCTGGCAGGATGCTAAGTTAATTAACATAAAGCACTTTTTGGCAATAATGGAAACAGATCATTACAATGAGGATTAATAGTGATTAGAAGAAAAATAGTACTTTCTTAAAGCTATATTGAACGAAGTATGATGTGCTAGGGTAACATTTGACAAATATAGTCTATTTAACCATCCTCAATGTAAATGTCAGTGTAAAGGGGCTGAGCTCTACAGTTGATCTATATTTTCAGAAAGGAAAGTTTTCTGTGAACAGCAGATAATCTTGGACACACTTCCCTTTAATATCAAATAGCAGAAGTAGAGAATAATGGCTCTGATAGAATATTTGAGCATTCTTGGGAGATAACATCAAATACAGTCCATATTTTAGTATAAGAAACCATGACTGGGTACTCCAGTTTAATAATCAGATTTTTTTTTAATTTGGCAATAAGAATTCAATTCTTTTTCTATAATTATTGGTACCAATGCAATATTGATAAGTCTTAAATTTCTATTTTAAATGTTGTAGTACAGTAACAAAATAGTTTTTGGGAAATCTTTTATAACAATTCTGTAGTTTTTTTTTTTTTTTTCAGTGTTGAAACAGTGAGTGCGAAATAATGTAGTGGGGACTGGCATTGTGGTGTAGCAGGTAAAACCATCACTTGCAACGCCAACATCCCATATGGGCACCAGTTCAAATCCTGGCTAATCTGATCCAGTTCCCTGCTAGTGTGCCTGGAAAAGCAGTAGAAGATGGCCCAAGTGCTTGGGCCCCTGTATCCGTGCAGGAGACCAGGAAGAAGCTCCTGGCTTTGGCCTGACCAAGCCTGAGCTGTTAGGGGCATTTGGGGAGTAAACCAGTGGTTGGGAGATATCTCTGTCTCTCCTTGTCTGTTTGCCTTTCAAACAAATAAGTCTTTTTTAAAAGTTTAGTGAATTTGACTATTAAATCAAGATATTAAACGAAATGAAATTTTCTAGTTCTTATTATATATTTAATCAAAACTTCTCTTTGTAAAAGTACACAGCATTCCAGATAGGGCAAAAGTATCCTTTATTTACAGCAGTGTGTTTCTAAGTACTTTTTTCTGATAGCTTCCTATCCTTATTTTTACTGACTTTGACATATTTGGAACTAATAAAATATCATTAGTTGTGTTTGTATGACTCTGCTAAAGGAAGAATACTCATGCTTGGTAAATAATTGGTATAGAACTAAAATCCATTTACCTGCACCTACCATTATGTTTTTAGCCGAGGAAGAGGCTACTAGAAGACGACAGATGCAAGAAGCAGAAATGATGTATCAGACTGGAATGAAAATCCTCAATGGAAGCAATAAGAAAAGCCAAAAGAGAGAGTAAGTAGCATTGCCAAGTCCATTCTCCCCCTCAAGATAAGCCGTGTTTCTGAACTGTGATGTCAGAGACAGAGGATTTCCTAAGCACCATTACCATTAGTGCGCATTAGTGGCACTGCTTTTATTAAATTTTAGCTTGGTTGGATAAAAATGTTATAAATTCTGTTTATAAGAATGAACAGTGACTAAAATAGAAGTAACTGATTAAAATTGTTTAGTTCCTAAGAACCATGAATGTCTGTACTATTCAGAATTCAAAATAACATCAGCCAAGTAAAGGGAATTGTGGCTGAGTGTGTTTGTGTTTTGGTTTTGCTTTATAATTTTTTACCTGTATTTAGGAATTTATACTTGGAAGGAACACAAAACAAGCAATTGTCTTCTGCCATTTTATGTTATTTTAATTTCATCTGACATTTGTTCTAGTCTATACAAAGATTCAAGAAGAAAATTGGAACAGTTGTCATTGGATTATTGACTACATACCATCATATCATATTTCTCTTATTGTAAATCTAGTTAACTTCAAATAGAAGGTTTTAGAATATTTGCTAGTGTGATTAGACTATTTCAAGATATTAGGACAACATAGAGAACTGGTACCTTATGTAAAAACAAAATAGCCAGGATATTATAGACATGTAAGTAGTATGGCTTGGTAGAAATAAGATCAGAGGAATTCTGTAACAAAAGCAAATTATTTGCACTGTATTTTAGTAGGTCTTGGAAAAACTTCTTGCGGCAATTCTAAAACATTCCTAATTTGTTTTTTAATGCTTCCATTTAAAGAGCATATCGATATCTTCAAAAGGCAGCAAGCATGAACCATACCAAGGCCCTCGAGAGAGTATCTTATGCCCTTTTGTTTGGTGATTACCTGACACAGAATATCCAGGCAGCTAAAGAGATGTTTGAGAAACTGACTGAGGAAGGTTCTCCCAAGGGACAGACTGTAAGTACATTCAACATACATGCAGCACTTGATAATTTGACTGCAGTTTATTTTCTGTGTATATCCTACCTTCTTTTACAAGTAAGACTGGAAGATAAAATATCTATAAATACTAATTTTGTGGCAGACCATTTTACCAATCTTCTTGGTAAACTTTTTCCTTAATTTAAGATCTTGAAGGCATTTTTGCAGTTGCCACAATTACATTTGCTGTTTTCTAAATCAGATCTGTAGAGAAGGAAATATGAAGGTAATTATTTTTTAGAGAATTTACTGTTGTATTTTTTCCAGAATTCAAATGCTGTTGTTAATTTTGGTGTTTTTAAAAAAATATTTTCTTACAGAAACCATACCAGCCAATTAGAGAAAACTAAAAATACTAACAAAAGTAAGAAAGTAAACATCATATATGTACCACTCAGATATGAGCAGTGGTGATATATTTGTGCATGTGTGCCCTTGTAGACCTTTCTCTTCACGTGTGTGTGTGTGTATGTGTGTGTAAGTAAATGTTTTATTAAAAATGGGATGCCACTGTCACTATTGCTTTTTTCTTTAAATAAACATTATTGAAAGGCAGAGTGACTGAGGCTGGTGGAGAGGTGCGTGGAAATCTTCCATCTGTTGGTTTACTCCCGAAATGACCACGAGCCAAGATCCAGGAACTCCATTTGGGTCTCACACATGGGTGGCATGGGCCCAAGTACCTCTGCTGCCTTCCCAGTTGCATTAGCAGGAAGCTGGATCAGAAGCAGAGCAACTGGGACTTGAACGTGTGTTCTGATGTGGGATCTGGCATCACAAGTGTGGCTTAACTCACTCACAATGCCAGTGCACTATTGGCTTTTTTCAATTAAGTTTTTCACCTTTCTCGTCCAGCAAATTTTTGCTTCTTGTAATACCTACACTCACTATATTTCTATGGTGTTAAACCAAAAACTTCTTTGTATCATTTTGTTCAAACCATTAGTAATCAGTCTACAACTATACCATTAATTTGGTTGTTATTTCTGAGTTAGCCTCCTGCCTTTTTTTATTTCCTATGTTAGAGACAGGAACAGTTTTTCTGTAGAGTGTCCTATCTCTCCTTCTTCATAGTGTCCTTGGACATGTTTCTTTTTGCCTACATTTCTTGTAAACAAGATCTCACAGCTGCAAGCTGATAAATTCAAGTAAAATATTTTTGGCTAGGCTATGTTATAAGCATTGTCCTGTATTCCACATTATATCACTTCAGTTAATATGTGGTATCTGGTTGTTTCTGCATTAGTAATTCCAAGGTTGACACCTAGAGTTGGTGCTGTTAGTACTGATTGACACCAGGATCTAGGAGACCATCACATTTTTTTTTTAGATTTATTTATTTTATTTGATAGGCAGAGTTATAGAGAGGGAGAGAGAGGGATGGAGGAAGGGAGAGACAGAGAGATCTTCCATTCTCTGGTTCACTCCCCAAATGGTCACAACAGCTGCAAATAGGCCAGACTAAAGCCAGGAGCCAGGATCTTCTGGATCTCCCACATGGATGCAGGGGCCCAAGCATTTGGGCCATTTTCCACTGCTTTCCCAGGCACATTAGCAGGGAGCTGGATTGGAAGTGGAGCAACCAGGAATCAAACCAGTGCCCATATGGGATGCTGACACTGCAGGTGGAGGCTTAACCTCTACGCCGTAGTGCCAGCCCCCAACATTGGTTTTAAATGCCTTCAAATCATCCAGGATTACTCAAGCTGCAGGAAAAATTTCAATCACAGAGAAAGTTGTTTTTCAGACTCATTAATCAGTAACAGGAGTTGTACCCATTGTCTTCGTTCGAACTAAATACCTCAGGGTTAGCACTGTGGCATATGGGTTGGGCATCTGCCTGCTGTGCTGGTATCCCATATGGGTGCCGGTTCTAGTCCAGGATGCTCTACTTCCAGTCCAGCTCCCTGCCGATTGCCTGGGAAAGCAGTAGAAGATGGCCCAAGAACTAAATACCTAACAAGTCTGTGGCTCTTCTGTATTCTTTTAGTTGTTAGTTTATAAGTATTGTGTCTCCATTGCTTCCCTTTGTTTTCCAAGTCCTTTTCTCTTCTTTGCATAAATCAACTTAAATAAAATTTACACATATATTCTTTATTTTCAAAACCTTCTACTCTGAAGAATGGTTTTATTTTATAAGGCATTTTTCCCTCTGATAATAGACCCTTACAATGCCATAACACTTTACGTATTGCAAAGCACTCTCTCAGGGTACTTAATTCAAGCTGATACAACAGACAAAGCCCTGGAATCACTAGCTGAGCACTGCAAGCCAGGTTTGATACAGCTCTCCTGTCCACAGTGCTGTCTTCTGTGTGGTGGTTTCTGGTCCTGGGCTGCTTCCATCTTATAATTACACCATCCAAAACATGGGTCTCCAAGCCATCAGGAAGGGAGAAGAGAGAGCCAGAGGGTTCTTAGGGACATGTTTAAAGGCCAAGCCCCAAAACGTCTTATATCCCTTCTAGCCACAGCCCCAGCACATGCAGAGGATGAGAAATGTAGAGGCACTCATGAGTATTGAGCACTGGCAGGCGCTGCCACACCTTACAACTTTAGATTGGGGCCAGCCCTGTGGCATAGTGGGGAAAGCCTTCGCCTGCAGAGCCGGCATCCCATATGGGCGCTGGTTCACATCCCAGCTGCTCCACTTCCAATGCAGCTCTCTGTTATGGTCTAGGAAAGCAGTAGAAGATGGCCCAAGTTCCTGGGCCTCTGCACCCACGTGGGAAGACCCGAAGTAAGCTCCTGGCTCCTGGCTTTGTATCGGCGCAGTTCCGGTCATTGTGGCCAATTGGAGAGTGAACCATCAGATGGAAGACCTCTCTTTCCCTGTCTGTCCTCTATCTATGTAATGCTGCCTTTCAAATAAATAAATAAATATTAAAAAAAAAAAAAAAACTTGGCCAGCACCGCGGCTCAATAGACTAATCCTCCGCCTGCAGCTCCGGCACACTGGGTTCTAGTCCCGGTCAGGGAGCCGGATTCTGTCCCAGTTGCTCCTTTTCCAGTCCAGATCTCTGCTGTGGCCCGGGAGTGCAGTGGAGGATGGCCCAAGTGCTTGGGCCCTGCACCCACATGGGAGATCAGGAGAAGCACCTGGCTCCTGGCTTTGGATCAGTGCAGTGCGCTGGCCGCAGCGTGCCAACCGCAGTGGCCATTGGGGGGTGAACCAACGGAAAAGGAAGACCTTTCTCTCTGTCTCTCACTGTCCACTCTGCCTATCAAAAAAAAAAAAAAAAAGAGAGAGAGAGAGAGAGAGAAAGAGAGAGAAAAAATAACCTTTAGCTTATACTTTTGTGTCACCATATGATCCACAGAAGGCAAAGTACTGGTAGAACCTTACTGTGAGTTGGTTGTTGGGACAGTTTTAGAAAATCACGTGTATGCTAGCATCGCTAAGTGATCTTTCTCTTTTAATCTCTTCAACTCAAGTCCTTGCTACTTCTTTTTATTCCTGGAAAGGTTTATCTTGCTAATCTCTTACCCTTTTTCATAGTGTATGCCACTCTCCTTAGATAGAGAAATAATCTTGGTATAAAATATAAGAATTGTTTTGTCTTCATGATGGCCATTCATAAACTGAAGTAAAAGTCATGTTTTTGTGTGTTCAGTTTTGTTTTCTAGTTAATATTTTATTAACTTGTCATAGTCTTGAAGCTACACTTTACTTGTTTAAAGTTACATTTAATTGTAGAATGCTAAGTGGATTTCTGAAGCTTCTTAATAATTTTGCACTCTTGCATTCAAATCCTTTAGCAATAAAAATGTTTAAATCTTCCATACTGCATACTTATGTCTGCCTTGGATAAACTTTCACCAAAGAAAGAATGCTTACTTTTATCATTTTATTTTCAGGCTCTTGGCTTTCTCTATGCCTCTGGACTAGGTGTTAATTCAAGTCAGGCAAAGGTAATACTATCAAAACCTTATTGCAAAATAAATAAATAAATAAAACCTTATTGCATATTGCAATATTAATTGAATAAATAATAATAGCAGTTAAGTGTGCCTGTATATTTAGTAATCATCTTTTTTTTTCATAGGCCCTTGTGTATTATACTTTTGGAGCTCTGGGGGGCAATCTAATAGCACACATGGTTTTGGTAAGTATGACTTCAGTGGAAGAATAATAACATCAAGTAGTAGGAGAATTTCTAATTTACAGTGTCCGCTTTACCAACCTTCATAGTGGGAATTTGCTTCTATTAATTAAAAGCAAATATTTGCTTAAGCATTTCTCAAATTCTTGTCAATATTACAAACGTAATCTACATGTGAATTAAAATTTGTAGTGCCCACAATTTTTTTTTGAAATGAGTAGGTTGTCTGATTGCCCTTAAAATAGAGATCTGACAAGTGGCTCTCAAAAAGAAAGGAATTTTCTCTAAGTTGAAACTGCTTATCAGAACCATTTTTAGATTGGATTATCATTACATTTGACTTTTTTTTTTAACCTAGAAACCTTTTATTTAGGATATACAAACTTCATGCATTTCATATATACAAATTTAGGAATAGAGTGATTCTTCCTACCATACCCTCCTCCCACCCATACTCCCACCCTTCTTATCCCCTCTCCTCATTCTTACTTCTTACAAAGATCAATTTTTAATTCACTTCATACACATTAACGCTACCCTAAGTAAAGAATTCAACAAATAGTATGAAGAAAAACAAAACATTCTTCAACAGTGGAGACAAGAACTGTTCGAAATCATTGCATCTCAAAGTGTCAATTTCACTTCTGTTGATTACCTTTTAGGTACTCTATTTGACATTGACATTGCTGAAGGACTTACTATACAGAAAACTGAGTCCTATAAGGGACATTAAAGAGTAACTCTCCTGTATTACTAGACAGCATTAGTCCCTTAAATAACTTAGTGGTAAATTAAAAAACAATCTTTCCAACTAATTCTTTTTCTGCTAAGGGGTTTAATTTTCCTTCTGCTTTTAAATTGATTTGTGGTAGATCATATGATCTCTGATACATGTTACTGTGTTCAAATGAATTTGTTAAGTTCCTTTTTCCAGAATGTTAAGAGTAGGCTGAGTGGAAATGAGACTGAAAGCAGAAAAACCGGTCCCAAATCTGGAAAAGATTTACAGGGTTGGTCACTGATGGGATATGAGATTTAAAAAAGAAAGAAAATTCAGTAGAAGCTGGGTGGATCCTAGCTCATTTTACTCACATGTGTTGAAAAAACATTTATTTAGTGTTTATCATTGAGGTTCCAAATATGAATGAAATACAGTACCTAACCCCCAATGAGTTTTTAATCCAGAAAGGGAGACATAAGTAGGGAGAACATTAAACTGCTGTGTAACAATGTTAAGGCACTCTGGGATTGGAAGGGAATAGGATTTAGAGGAGATACTTCTGAAGAAAGAGGCAGTTGCAGTATTTTTTTTTTTTTTTTTTTTGAGGAATAAATGCATGCAAAAGAAAACAGTGCCCAGGCAGCAAGAGCAGTAAATGCAAAGGAACAGAGACAGGAGGAACATTGTGTCTGCAAAAAAGTACAGGAACTTTGATGTGCTGAATAGTGGAAGGCCAGGTAGTTCAAAAGATGAGCAGGTAGGTGGATGATGTGAACGAACTCTTGTCTTGCCCAGGAGCTTGGACTTTGCCCTGTTACCAGGATAAGCCACTGAAAGAGATTAAACAATTGAAAAGCAAGGGTGTTACTCTGACTTTCTGAACCAACCCTCGCTAATTTAACATTTGTTCCATTTGTTTGTCTAGTCTACATTAACGTTTATTCCTCAAACAATAATTTAAAAACTCAAGTGAATTCTCAAGAAATAAAAGAGATTATATTTTTGTATGGCAAACATGTCAACTATTTTGATAGGTTTAGTATGTTCATCATTCTTCATTTTTTAAAAGATTTATTTATTTATTTATTTATTTGAAAGGCAAAATGACCAAAAAGGGGGTAGGCGGGGGAGAGCAACAGAGATGTATCTTTAAACTGTTGGTTCATTTTCCAAGTTCCCACAAGAGCCAAGGCTGCAGTAGGCCAAAGCCTGTGCCATCTGAGTCTCCCACATGGGTAACTGAGGCCCAAACACTTCAGCTATGATCTGCTTCCTTGTTGGGCATATTAACAGGAAGCTGGAAGGGAAGCAAAGTAGCCAGGACTTGAAGCAATACTCTAATACAAGATGTAGTTATCCCAAGAGGCGACTTAACCTGCTGCACCACAATACTTGCTCTACCAGGCTTCTTTAATGATAGCTGCACATGTGGAAAAGGTACCTTAATTGGTGGGAATGTAAACTGGTGCAGTCACTGTGGAAGACAGTGTAGAGATACCTCAGAAATCTGAATATTGAATTACCATATGACCCAGCCATCCCACTCCTGGGAATTTACCCAGTGGAAATGAAATCAGCATCTAAAGGAGTTATCTGTACCCCCATGGTCATTTGCAGCACAATTCACAGTAGCTAAGAGATGGAATCAACCCAGATGTCCATCAACTATTGACTGGATAAAGAAATTATGGTATATATGCACTGTGGAGTACAACTCAGCTGTAAAAACAAAAATGAGATCCTGTCTTTTGCAACAAAATGGACACAACTGGAAACCATTATAATTAGTGAAATTAGCCAGTCCCCAAAAAACAGATACCATATGTTTTCCCTGATCCAAGGTAACAAATAGAGTACCAAAAATGTATTGGAGTAAAGTGGACATTTTAAAATTCTATGATTGGGGCCACCGCTGTGACGCAACAGGTTATAGCCCTGGTCTGCAGTGCCAGCATCCCATATGGGTGCCAGTTCAAGTCCCAGTGGCTCCACTTCTGATCCAGGTCTCTGCTGTGGCCTGGGAAAGCAGTAGAAGGTAGCCCAAGTGCTTAGGCCCCTGCACCCGCTTGGGAGACCCGGAAGAAGCTCCTGGCTCCTGGCTTTGGATCGGCACAGCTCCAGCTGTTGCAATCATTTGGGGAGTGTGCCAGTGGATGGAAGACCCCCCCCCCCACTCTCTCTCTCTATCTCTGCCTCTCCTTCTCTTTCTGTGTAACTCTGACTTTCAAATAAATAAATAAATCTTAGGGAAAAAAAAAGATTCAATGATTGTTTGCAGCCCTATCTCTTCCGTTGATGACAGCATTTTTTTTTCTTCATACTCTTTTATTTAGTGTAGGGGCAACTATATGATCATTAAGTAAACTGAAAATAGATCTTTGTAAAAATTAAGAGTAGGAATGTGAGAGGAAGTAGAAAGAAGGGTTGGAACATGAGTGGGAGGGAGGGATGGGTGGGAAGTATCACTGTGTTCCTAAATCTGTATATGTGAAATACATGAAACTTGTATAACTTAAATAAAAATTTTTTTAAAAAAATTAACATTGGCCACAGTTGAAATGGCTACACAGTAAGAACGTTGAAAGGGGTGGGCATTTGGCTTGATGGTAAAGATGCCAAAATCCAAATCACAGTGCTTGGATTCAGTTCCCAGTTCTGTCTTCTGACTCCAGCTTCCCACTAATGCATAAACTTGGAGGCAGTGGTGACAGTTCAGAAAAGCGGCTTGTTGCCATCCCTATAGGAGACCTGGATCACATTTCTAGCTCCTGACTTTAGCCTTGGCCTGGCCAAAGACATGTGAAGTTTCGAAGCAAAAGGCTGTAGATGGGGGAGTACTCTGTATTGCTGACTCTTCTGTGTCTCTCTCTGCCTTTCAAATACTTTTTAAAAGAACATTAAATATTATACATGTTTACATGTTTTTATACATAATGCCCTAAATATTGTTAAAGTTTGTTAGAGTTTTGCTTTTTGTTCTTATTCTGAAATTGTTAATTGCTGGTGTTACTGGGCCTGCTGCCAGTAGTCCTATTTTCTTTTTTTTTTTTTTTTTAAGATTTATTTTTAATTTGAAAGTGAGAGTTACACAGAGAGAGGAGAAGCAGAGAGAGAGAGAGGGGTCTTCCATCTGCTGGTTCACTCCCCAATTGGCCACAACGGCTGGAGCTGCGGCAATCAGAAGCCAGGAGTCAGGAGCTTCCTCCCAGTCTCCCACAGGGTGCAGAGGCCCAAGGACCTGGGTCATCTTCTACTGCTTTCCCAGGCCATAGTGGAGAGCTGGATTGGAAGAGGAGCAGCCAGGACTCGAACCAGTGCCCATGTGAAATGCTAACACTGTAGGTGGCAGCTTTACCCACTGTGCCACACACTAGCCCCAGTCCTATTTTCTTTATTTTGCCAATTTCTTACTGCTTTGTTAGTTTGGAAAATTAGTTCATTTTTGCTAAAATTGTGTCTAAAATAAGATTAAAATTCCTTCTAAGCACGAGCCTGTTTTCTCTTACGGGTAAAATGTCCGTACTTCACCCACAGAGCCCTTGGTGTTTAGTTTGATTGCTGTAGGACCTTTATTATTTATTTCCTAGTTCTTAACTGTAGTCTGCTTGTGGACGTTGCTGAGCAAGCTACCTCAAAACCTAAGACTCGGGAAAAATGAAGTGTAAGTGTGCTTCAGTGGAAGGACAACAGACCACATTCTGGCTAGAGTCAGCGTTGTCACTTCTAGAGGAATGCCACGGGAGCTTGGGAATCCTGTCTTCTCACCTGAAGTTGTTTTCCAGGGATACCGCTACTGGGCTGGCATCGGAGTCCTCCAGAGTTGTGAATCTGCATTGACTCACTATCGGCTTGTTGCCAATCATGGTATATATTTTTTATTCTTTTTACTAAGAAAAAAAAATTTAAAGTCCTGTGTTTTTGTTGTACTGCTTGAAGTATCTTGAATGACTCTTTCACATATCTCATCTTCAAATTAGGTGATGAAGTACAGTTTTCTTTAATTTTGCTTTGGGTTTCACTTCTTAAATATTTTATGGGAACAAGTCTCCTTTATGAATAGATTACTACTTTATAATCTATAGAATATTTTAGAGTTTCTCTTTCACATTACTTATTGTCAGCCATGTACAGCTGGGATTGTACCTCTTTCCGTGGACAATCCTTCTGACTGTTTGCCACATTACTTTGTCCCCCTGTTTCAGTTGCTAGTGACATTTCGCTAACAGGAGGCTCAGTAGTACAAAGAATACGGCTGCCTGATGAGGTAGAAAACCCAGGAATGAACAGTGGGATGCTAGAAGAAGATTTGATTCAGTATTACCAGTTTCTAGCTGAAAAAGGCGATGTACAAGCACAGGTATGTGTTTAAACATCTCAGAGAATATTTTACTGCGTTGGGTATTTTAATGTGATGGGGGAGGGTGGGTAAGTACTTAAATCTGTTAGTAACATTCTCATTGCTCTGAGCAATTACTGACTTCATATTAGAGTCCCCAAAGGAGCATTAAAAATAATAGCAAGAAGCCCACACTCTCCGCAGATTCCATTTGGGTTCATCTAAGGTGGGACCTGGACAGTAAGAGTCCCTAAAAGCTGACCACGTGACTGTCCTGTATAACACAGTTGGAAGTCACTGCTTGAGATGAGCAACATTAACACTGGTGATCAAAGTTCTTACTGGAGTCACCAGGGTTGAAACTCATTTCTCTAAATAAGGAATTTCTGTAATATTTGGAATCTTGAGTATTCTTTGTGGCTATTTACTGTTCATGTTTCTTTTGCTTATCTTAGAACATAATTCTCTGAAGGTCTAGAACAGAATTAGGTTTGTTAAATGTAAACTATATGCTATCCATCAGAGTATCATGCGTTTGTGTGTGTGTATGTGTTTGTATGAATGTGCTTCCTGGCTTATTTTGATGATATTAAAATAAAAAACTTAAACATTGTTTTTCTACTAAATTTTCATTTCTTTCTAATTTATAATATATAGAGATGAACAAAAGACACCTACTAAGATAAGACAAGACATAATTTTAAGACTAAGAGAAGGGAGACTTAAAAAAAATCAGTAACCACAGTGTGAATTAGATTAAAAGTTTAACTTACTGAAATCATAACAAGTTATCTTGTGTGATTAAGCCTATTTCTTACATATTAATTTTTGGCGTAAATCTTCTGTTCATGGAACATGCTTTTCCATGTTCCCTGCTGTCTCCTTTCTTGCTCGCATTGAGTTTGGCTGCTTTTTGCTAGTGCATCTCTGTCCCTTACCCAGTGTGGTAGCCCTGCTTCCACTATCCTTTGATTGCCTAGAGAGCACAGCACACATCCTTAAGTTAGTGAAGGTGGTATGATAAGCACTTTCACCATTTCCAGGACAACTCAGAAGCTTTCATGTACCCTGTTTTAATTCTGCATATCTCTGAATCTGACGAGATATTATTGTTTGATATAGTATATATCAACTTAGATTTACTCACAAATTTGCTTTTCCACTGCTCTTACTGCATTTCTGAACTTCTCAGATAAACTCCCTTCTTTCCTAAGGAGCACCCGTTAGTATTTCATTTAGAGTTGGTTCACTGGGGACAAACTCAGTTTGGAGTTGTCTGAAAATGTTTTGTTTCACCTCATTTTAGAAGAATACTTTGCATATATTTTTAATTTTTAAAATTTGGAGTTAAAGTAGAATCATGTTTTTAGGACTGAAGACTATGTTTAGTTTTTTTTTTTTTCTGTTTTTTGAGTCATGAACAGAAAGCCTTTTACTCCCAAGATCCTTTCTTGGTAGTCTGATCCTGACTGTGTGCCACCACTTCCTTTGCTCTGTTCTTGTTTTTAGGTTGGGCTGGGACAGCTGCATCTGCACGGAGGACGTGGAGTAGAACAAAATCATCAGGTAACTGCCCTGCCCCTTGGGCTTTGAGAGATTCGTGTTGTATCAAGAAATGATGCTCTAGATGCATTTCTTGCTCACTCAGTGCCAATATCAAACTTGTGTTGTTTACACACCACAAAAGAGCTTTCAAAATCTAATGCCTGAGGAAGCAAAAGAAAAAAGAAAATGTGAATATACTTTAGAGTGGTAGAAAAGGTTTTATTAATTTAAAACCTGCTTCTCAATATTGCCCAGAAATTTCACATACAGGGTCTTGGTTTTCTGTAAGTATGTGTTAGTGTGTGTATGTGTGTGTGTGTGTGTGTGTGTGTAGATATAGATATAGCTAGATAGATATTACTTTAAGTGTGTGTGTGTGTGTATATATATATGTGTGTGTATATATATAAGTGTGTATATATACACACGTGTACATATATGTGTGTGCGTATATATATATATATATACACTTATTTTTTAAAGCATTTATTTGAGAGAGAAGAGTTACAGAGAGAGAGAGAGGGAGAGAGACATCTTCCATTGACTGGATCATTCCCCAAATGGCTACAATAGCCAGAGCTGGTCAGATCCAAAGCCAGGAGCCAGGAATTTCTTCCAAGTCTCCCACATGGGTGAAGGGGCCCAACACTTGGGCCATCTTCTGCTGTTTTCCCAGGGCATAAGCAGAGAGCTGGATTGGAAGTGAAGCAGCCGGGACAGATACCAGCGCCCATATGGGATGCAGTGCCGCGGGCAGAGGCTTACCCTTCTATGCCATAGCACTGGCCCCTTCTTTAAGTGTATGATGGAAGTATGTTTTAAACACCTTTTAGAAAATGCTTTATAGAACTGAGGAACATTTCATGTTATTTGTGAGGAGTTAGAAGTATATAGTTCTTCCAGTCTGATCTGTTATTCAGTCACCAGGTTTTGTCCACTTTGTGCCCTAAATATCACTCACCTCTTCCCTACTTTAGACCTCCATACCTATCACTTGTGTGGATCATCTTCCACATGTATCTCCTAGATAAAGCTGTCTCTCTAAATCACACATCTGATTTCCTTGGGTAAAACTCTTGCGTGGTCTGTAACTTCCAGTAGCTTAAAGACCAAAACCTTTATTATGACCTCTAAGGCTTCCTACCAGTCAGTCTATGTTTACCTTAGTAGCCCCTTCCTCTGAGTTACAGGCACACAGACCCTTTGTCGAGTTTTTGAACCTATCAAGAGCCTCCCTGCTTCAAGACTTCTTTAGTGTTAGTCCTCTCTGCACGATGAATGTTACCCACCTCTTTCCTTCATGTAGCTAATGCTCACTCATTCTCCAGAACTTGAAGCAAACCTGTAGTATGTCCCCCCTAGTCTCCCTCCAGGAACAGGTCATGTTCCACAGTCAGATGTCTGAACGTCTGTCCTTTGTAAATTAACTACTTAACTAAGTTATTTCCTTGCTTAAGCACAGAGTCCAAAAGAGCACAAACCATGTCTGCTTGCTTGCTACTTTATTCGTAACCTCTGACAGTGTATAATATGTAGTAAGTTTTTAAAAAACATTTGTCAAACTAATAAACTGGTCTCCACCATGCCAGTTAAATATACTAATTGAGATTATTTCACATACTAAACACCACCAACTTTAAGAATTAGATTGTAACAAAATATACTTATCATTAAAGCTATCCAAATATCATGGGTTGCTTTGTTTTTGTTTTATTCAGACTGCTTTTGACAACTTTCATCATCTCTGAGATATTAAAATGTACATCTTAGGGCAATGAATCATCACATGAGCTGGTTAGTAAGTGAGAAAACAGAATTCTGAGTAAGAGTTTGCTGCATACCTTTTGTATAATAACTTTGGGAATATTCCTGTATTGTTGCTGCCTACCTGTGAAGCAACTGCACTATAAATTACTTCACCAGCTTTAAAGAAGAAAATAAGTTCCTGACACATAATTGAATTAACTCAACAAATATTTTAGTACCTACTGTTTGCCATTCATTGCTAACAATTCAGGAGGTCTTCTAAAGTTCATGGAAGCTGTGTTAACTTTAAAATTTTTCGTCAACAAAATAAACTTATACTTACTACAACACATTTGAACAGAGTCTACTTTGTGGCACTAAAAAGGATTAGACATCAGTTTGAAAAGAGCTTCTGTCAGAGTGACTTGAATTCTGATAAAACTAAGTTAAAGCAAACATCAAATTTAGGGTGATGGAGGAATGGTGAAATCATTGACACTTGACAAAAAATGTATGGGGACAGTGCCTGAAAGAAGTCAGAGGTTTACAGACACGTAACTAATTTTAAGAAGGGACCGAGTTACATTAAGATGAAGCACACAGTAGCAAACCATCCACTTCTACTTGTAAGGAAAAAATAAATCCTGTTCCTTCCCTAATCAAAGAGGACCAGTGATTAACAGCAGAAACAATAACCAACACCACTTGCACCTCAATTGATGTAGCTTACACAATTCTGCCTGAATGTTGAGCAGACTTTGTCCTTGATGTGTGCCAAAGGTTGTGTCCAAATTGCACACAAGGGAAAAGCTTTCAGTGAAAGCTTTAAATAGGTGGGATCAAGATCCTGAAGCATTTTTTCAAATAATAACAGCAGATGAAACATTGTTTTACCAGTACAATCAACAAACCAAAACACATCAAGGGCCGTGCCGCGGCTCACTAGGTTAATCCTCCACCTGCGACACCGGTATCCCACGTGGGCACCGGGTTCTAGTCCCAGTTGCTCCTCTTCCAGTCCAGCTCTCTACTGTGGCCCGGGAAGGCAGTGGAGGATGACCTGAGTGCTTGGGCCCCTGCACCCGCATGGAAGACCAGGAGGAAGCACCTGGCTCCTGGCTTCGGTTCCGCGGTAGCTCTGGCCGTAGTGGCCATTTGTGGGGTGAACCAGTGGAAGGAAGACCTCTCTCTCTGTCTCTCCCTCTCACTGTCTGTAACTCTACCTGTCAAATGAGTTAAAAAAAAAAATCAAAGCAACAGCTACGAGGAGTAAAAATGGTTCAGACAAAGCAAAAGACCAGTTGAGAGCAAAAGTCATTTGGGGGATGCTAATGACATTTTGTTTATTAAGAATGATAACATTGTTTATTTTTGCGAGTGGAGAAAGTTAGACAAAGCTATAGCAGAAAAGCACCCAGGAAATTCTCCCACCAGGACAATGATCCTTCTCATTCCTCCTGCCAGACAAGGGCAGTTTTGCCAGAATTTCCGTGGCAGATCATCAGCATTCACCTTATGGTCCTGATTTGGCTCCTTCTAACTTCATTTTGTTTCCTAATTTTAAAAATTAAAGGGCACTCATTTTTCTTCAGGTAATGTAAAGACTGCATTGACATCAGATTCCCAGGCCTCTTCGTTCTTTAGGATCCTGGGAATGATGATATAATCAACCACAAAAAAAGTGTCTTGAACTTGATGGCACTTATGTCAAGAAATAGTGTGGGTTTTTTTTTATTTTTATTTTTAAATCCCACTTTTTCACAAGTCATTTGAAATCTCCTCATACTGAACAAAATATCTGTTCTTTATTCCTGTGGAGCTTCAAGTTTAATAGGAGCATTAGATACTTCTTAAATAATCACACCAATAAATATGTATGAATTGTGATTATTATTACAAAGAATAATTAAAGGACACAATTACTGATTAGTAAATGGGAAGTACCAGCTAGAAAGAATGGGAGGAAAACTTGTCTAAGAAGTAGAGGACATTTAAGTTGAGACTGGAGGTAATGTCAGTTCCCAAAAAGAACAGCATAAATGAACAATGGCTGGCATGCACATCGTGCAGAGAGCATGGTGCAGTGCTAAGAAAACTGCTTGGTAACCTCAGTATATCCATTTTGTATTTCAAGGGACTACAAGGAACATCATGTTCAGATTTTAAAACAGTGACTTCAGCAATACAGAGAATGAATTAGAAGACCCCAGGAATAAAAGAGGATGATCAGGAAGGGGATTATTCTAGAGGTTCGAGTGAAAGATAATGGAACTTGGTTGATCTGTGGTAATGAAAATTAATAGATGGATGAAAGATGTTTTTTGATAAAAGAAAGAAGGTTTCAGTGGTGGATCAGATATGAGAATGAAGGGGAGCATGTGGCTTGAGCAACCAATAGATGGTATTATCTGCTTACATTGAGATTCTGAATAATCCCCCCACTCTGTGGGGGGAGGGGTAGGCATGGAGTGAAGATTTCAGGTATATATGTTCAAGCAGTGGGTGAGATGTTCAGAGGGAGTTGAATAGATGAGTTTGGAGCTGCAGATGGAAGTTTAGAAGTTGCCATAGTCTAGGTGGTATGCAAAGCCATAAGAATAGGTAAGACTGTTTAAAGACTATAAAATGAAAATGGAATCCAAAGTTGTGCCCTGAAGAAATGTTTAAAAGTCCGCTGGCAGAGTAAGAATCAGCAAAGGAGACTTGAGTGTTGAGGTGGAGAGTTAGGAAGGAAACTGTGGAAGAGTGGCATCTTGTAAGCCAGGCTTAAGAGTCTTTCAGTAAGGAGGGTGTGGTAGAATGCGGCAGAGAGAGCTGAGGTGAAATGAGACAGCACTTGCCCTTGACAGTCTTTCTGAAGCCAATGAAGAGTAGGTTGTAGAATGCATTGCAGTGGATGCAGATAATTCATTTGAGAAGCTTGACTGTGTGGAGGTAACAGTCATCATTGGAAGGAAATTGGGGGTCTAAAGAAAAGATGAATCCTGTGTGTTTCGGTTTTTTTATTAACAGAAAAGTACTAGATTGCATTTAAGGGGTAACGTTCAGAGAGGGAGAGATGAAATGAGCAGGAGACAGCAATAACCATCAGTGTTAGGTCCTCAACAAGGATGAGCAGTGTAAGAGTGGTGATAACTTCTAATGATGGGAGTGTGTTTAGTTCTTGTGATTTTAAGCAGAACAAAAGGAAATTTTATTTCTTTACAGGAATTTAAAAAACCTCTGTGCCTTGAAAAGACTTCAGTTTTTCCCTTCTTTCAAGGTTATCACCAGAGGAGACAAAAGTTAAGCTCCTGTTAGATTCTGTCTGTTAAGCAGCCTGATGTTCACTTTTCCTGTAAATAAGAGAAGTTTTCTTGGTCCTTTATTTTAGGGAACACAAGAAATTTCTTTCGTGTTTCTAACTATGAAAAGACTTAATGATGCAGCTATCTTTTAATAAAATAAAACCTGAAAGTGCTGATTTCTGTTTTGAAATATTGACAACTGGGTATTCTTATTTTTAAACCACTTGAATATAACAAAATTTTGTTAATGTTTCTGAAGTAACTGTTTTTGCTAAAGCAGATTCTGTTAAAAGCTAATGGTTTTAACAATTCTTTTCCCACAGAGAGCATTTGACTACTTCAATTTGGCAGCTAATGCTGGCAATTCACATGCTATGGCCTTCTTGGGAAAGGTACTGTACAGCCTGTGAATGTATTATGTAAAAGGAAGAAGTGTTTACACAGAACAGTGTATTCAGGATCTACAATTTAACAAAAGTAAACTAGAAATAAGGTTTCTAGTGCAAGGATATTATATCGTGTCTTAAGTACTATTCTGAGGCATATTCTTACACAGCTTAAACATAATATGGCATCTCCTCAACAGTATATTAATTCTCCATTGAAATTAGCTGTCACTTTCTGACTTCCCACTTTTTATATATTTGTTATACGCATAGTGAGGAATTCTTTATTTGTACAATTTTGTTGTTGTTAAGTCTGTCCAAGTTGCCTGTGTTCTTCTGTGCAGAATAGATGCAGTTGGGTTTGTTAAAATTGATCTGCAGATCTTATAATTATCTTTTTTATAAGATTTATTTATTTATTTGAAAGAGTTATGAGAGTAAGATAGAGGTCTTTGATCTGCTGGTTCGTTCTCCAGATGGCTACAACAGACAGGGCTAAGCCAGGCCAAAGCCAGGGGACAGGTGCTTCATCCAGGCCTCCCATGTGTGTGGCAGCAGCCCATACACTTGGGCCTTCTTCTGCTGATTTTCCCAGGCCATTAGCAGGAAGCTAGATCAGAAGTGGAGCAGATGGGACATGAACTGGCACCCATGTGGGATGCTAATGTAGCAGGCAGTGGTTTCACCTGCCAGGCCACAAGAATGGCACCTTTAATTATCTTAAATATGACAGTTGTGACCCACCTCACAATGCAGTTCTTTTCTCAAGCACAGAAACATTTAAATCCAGAAACTTAGAGAACAGATGCGATATGTCATAGAAGAGTCACAAAAGTTCATTTTCATTATTTTGAAAACTAATGCAGTATAAACCAGTGAATGTTTTTATTCTAAGCAAATCCTAAAGTAAGGAAGTTCAAATGGAATGTATCTGAAAGGTTTTTACAAATAGGATTTCACTGTCACATGGTCACAAATAGTTAACTGGGGCCTCTTGACCCTTAAGTTTTAACATTCTGACCCTTGTATCATAGAGGTTGCTACTCCCCCATCTGTCTTTGTTATGTGTATTTTCCTTTATTTGTTGTTTCCTCAATATATCATAGATAGAAACAACACTGGTCATTCTGTTTTCCTTTTTCTTGACTCTTCATCATGTTCCATACCTACTACTCTTTAAAAAAAAAAAAAAAAAGATTTATTTATTTTATTTGAGAGGAACAGTGACAGAGAGGCAGAGGCAGAGAGAGACAGAGAGAGGTCTTCCATCCGCTGGTTCACTTCCCAGATGGCCGCAACGGCCGGAGCTTCACCAGTCCAAAGCCTGGAGCTTCTTCCAGGTCTCCCATATGGGTGCAGGGACCCAAGGACTTGGGCCATCTTCTACTGCTTTCCCAGGCCATAACAGAGAGTTGGATGGAAGTGGGACAGTTGGGTCTTGAACTAGTCCCTATATGGGATGCTGGCACTGCAGGCGGCAACTTTACTCACTATGCCACAGTGAAGGCCCCCGTACCTAATACTCTTAATGTTCAGTGTTTAAAGCCTTTTAAAAATAACATTTTAATTTCTTTGCCTGAACTTAAGACTCACTATTATCCTGGGAACAGCTATGGTAGAGGACAAGGGAGGGTGGACCCTGCTATTGAACAGACCTCACTTCATCCCTAACCTGATCCCCAGGACCGTGTCAGCCATCTCACTGCCCTATGGTAGAGAGAGAAGATTCATCCTGGTGTTAGAGATTTCTTCTTGAGACTGATATGCGAGCTTATTTGTATGTTAATATTTACCATACAAGTCATGAATTTGAGGTGACATCAAATGCATACTACAGGGGCCGGTGCTGTGGCTCACTTGGTTAATCCTCTGCCTGTGGTGCCTGCATCCCATATGGGCACCAGGTTCAAGTCCCGGTTACTCTTCCAGTCCAGCTTTCTGCTGTGGCCCGAGAGGGCAGTGGAAGATGGTCCAAGTGCTTGGGCCTTTGCACCCGCATGGGAGACCAGGAAGAAGCTCCTGGCTCCTGGCTTCGGATCAGTGCAGCGCCAGCCACAGCGGCCATTTTGGGAGTGAACCAACGGAAGGAAGACCTTTCTCTCTGTCTCTCCCTCTCACTGTCTGTAACTCTACCTGTCAAATAAGAAAAAAATGTATACTACAAAAATGTTTAATTTAAGAGCCAGAGCTGTGCCGATCAGGAGCCAGGAGCTTCTTCCCGTTCTCCCATGCGAGTGCAGGGGCCCAAGGACTTGGGCCATCCTCTGCTGCTTTCCTAGGGCACAGCAGAGAGCTGGATTGGAAAAGGAGCAGCTGGGACTAGAACCGGTGCCCATATGGAATGATGGCACCACAGATGGAGGATTAACCTCCTGCACCAAGGGGCCAGTCCCAAGAGTTTACTTTTAATTCTAAAATCTTCTGTGAGAAATTGTAAATGTTTGGAAACTTTTCGTGAGATATAACAAAAACCAAAATGAAATGCGATAGGAGAGAAATGTAGCTGGAAAGAGGGTTACAGCTCTTAATGAAATGGGGTCTGTTGCAGATGTATTCAGAAGGAAGTGATATTGTGCCTCAAAGTAATGAGACGGCTCTGCACTACTTTAAGAAAGCTGCTGACATGGTAAGACTTCATGACTCAGTGTACTGAAATGTGAGCCCCATTACTCTTACAGTAAATGAATCTATTGTATTGTAAGATTCATCATGACCAAACATGCCACAAATTAGTGAAAGTGCTTATGTAAATATGATTCATGTGAATTTTTTGGCTGTACATAACTTTCCCAATAAAAAGCAATTTTTTCTTAGGGACCAGGTTGTTGAATATTAACTCTCTGTTTAAATTTCTCAGAGAAGTTTCCTAATCAGAAAAATAATTGATTTTTGTAATGAAATTAGGAGTTAGGCATTCTACCTTATTTGTATTGCAGGTTGAAGCTTCAAAATTTATAAAACTGGATACTTTTGACAATTATAATACATAAATTAAGCTTTCTTTAGACATGAGAAAACTGCATATAGTCATTTAAGACCCTGTGTCTCCCAAGTATGCACTTACCTTGCATGTTACAGTAATCTAAATGTCACTTGAATACTTCTCAAAAGACACTGTGAAACTTTTCTTAAAGTTGCCTTCTATCTAAGTTAAGGTGAATTCTAGATTTTCCTCTTTTTAGTCTTAAAAAAAAAAAAAAAGATGATTATCTTTGCTTTACAATACTCCAGTAACCTTAAGTGTATCTTTGCAACCTGATAGTAGTATTGCTGTTGTTACAAGACTGTTGATTTTACTGTGGCATCTTCCTTCTTTATTGGGGTAGAAGGTTATTAATGAAAAACTACCCAAAATATGTTAGTCAAGTTTTGCATCAAAGATTCATGGCTCAAATAGTCAGAAGGTAAGTCACCAAAATTTAGTTCTAAGTTAACTTACTGTTTATTCTTTTCAGCAAATTACTGAAAGCCTCTGAATCTTTATAAGTCAATGTTAAATTGTCTGAAGGGGAGAAACTTTTGAATCAGAAAGTACTTAAGACATGTTTTGAATATGCTCATAAATTATTTCTTTTGTAATTATTTATTGTTACCTGTTTTTAATGAATTCTCTTTCCACTCACTTGTCTGATTTCTCCTGTTTACAGGGCAACCCCGTTGGGCAGAGTGGGCTTGGAATGGCGTACCTCTACGGGAGAGGAGTTCAAGTTGTAAGTGTTGAGTCTAACATTCTGACTTAAATAAGCCCTCATCTGGTGAGGAGGGGACATATTCTTTATCTGATAATCTGGATAAAACTATCCCATTTTTAAAAAATATTTATTTATTTATTTGGAAAGTAAAATTACAGAGAGACAGAGGCAGAGAGAGAGAGATCTTCCATCCACTGGTTCACTCCCCCAAATGACTGTAATGGCTGGAGCTGGACCCATCTGAAGCCAGGAGCCAGGAGCTTCTTCTGGGTCTCCCACACGGGTGCAAGAGCCCAAGTACTTGGGCCATCTTCTGCTGCTTTCCCAGGCCATAGCAGAGCTGGATTGGAAGTGGAGCAGCCGTGCCTTGAACCATCCCATATAGGATGCCAGCACTGCAGGCGGCAGCTTTACCTGTTGTGCCACAGCACCGGTCCCCATCCCATTATTATCTCAGAGTTTAGCTCACTGCCACACCTTCATTTCAGCTGTCTTAGGATGGCTCCATCTCTGCCTCCTTCTTTTGAAGGTGTCAAGCTGTTTGCTCATTCTTCCACCCATGCTTCCCCTCTACCAGCTCGTCCCATTTCTCAAGTATTTAAATATCCCACTACTCGAGCCTAAGAAAATCATCAGTCTTTCCCATTTAGGAGGGAAGATTTTTCTATTCTACTTTTTACCCCTTCTAGCTACTCTTTTCCCTCTCATCCTTCACTACAAAGCCAAGTTTTTCCAAAGAATCAACTTTACTAAGCTGCTAGCGTTCACTCTAGTTTTTAGCTATTAGGTTTCTGCCTCCCATGACTGCTTTCTTTATACAAGTCACCCATCACCTAAATGTCACTCCATTTGACATTTTTGGTTCCCCCACACCTTGGCCATCTCTGGGTTCTGTGACTACAAACTTTATTGGTTTTTTTTTTTTTTTTTGGCCATTTCATGCATTCTTCTCTGCTGCTGACTCAGACTGGATGTCCCTGGGTTTTCAGTAATGTTCTCTCCTCTGTTGAGCTCTCCAAACAATATATTCTTTAATTTGAGCCTAAAACTAAGAGCTAAGTTTAAGAGTCTAAGCTGTTTTTCCCCCCCAACAAAAATGACAGTTATGTGGTCTTACTTTGGTTCCTTCTAGTCATTTTAGGATTATAAAAGTCTTTAGTAATCTTTTTTTGTTTTAACCTTTCTCTATGGATATATTTGAGCTTTGAAATCTGATAATCATATCATGTTTGATAAGGTACACAATTTTCTTTATTTAATGCTAGGAAAATAGAGATTTGAAAAGGATTAGTTGGTTAGTAGGAAAATTTTTTCCTTTTTTTAAAGATGTATTTATTTATGGGGCCAGTGCTGTGGCGCAGTAAGTTAATCCTCCGTCTGTGGTGCCAGCATCCCGTATGGTCTCTGATTGTAGTCCCAGATGCTGCTTTTGTGATACAACTCTCTGCAATGGCCTGGGAAATCAGTAGAAGATGGCCCAAGTCCTTGGGCCCCTGCACCCACTTGGGAGACCCAGAAGAAGCTCCTGGATTCGGATCAGCACAGCTCTGGCCATTGTGGCCATTTGGGGAGTGAACCAGCAGAAGGAAGACCCCTCTCTCTGTCTCTCCCTCTTACTGTCTGTAACTCTACCTCTCAAATAAATAAATAAAATCTTAAAAAAAAGAAAAAGATTTATTTATTTAAGTGAGTTACACAGAGAGAGGAAGAGACAGAAAGAAAGAGATATCTTCCATCAGCTATTACACTCTCCAAATGGCAGCTGTGGCCAGGGCTGGGCCAGGCCAAAGCCAGGAGTCAGGAGCTTTTTCCGGATCTCCTGTGTGGCTGCAGGGGCCCCGGAACTTGGGACATCTGCTGCTGCTTTCCCAGGCATCTTAGCAGGGAGCTGTATTGGAAGTAGAACAGCCTGGACATAAACCTGCACCCATATGGGATGCTGGCATTGCAGGCAGTGGCTTTATCCAATATGCCACGACACTAGCCCCAATTGTTTCTTAATTACCAACCTGGAGTTTCTGTTAGTGTTTGTGCTTTCTGAGAGTAAACATACAAATTCAGGGCTGGCGCTGTGGCTTAATAGGGTAGGCTTCCACCTGCAGTACCTACATCCCATGTGGACACTGGTTCATTTCCTAGCTGCTCCTCTTGCTGTCCAGCTCTCTACTTATGGCCTGGGAAAGCAGTGAAAGATGGCCCACATACTTGGGCCCTTGCACCCACATAGGAGATCCAGAAGAAACTCCTGGCTCCTGGCTTCAGATTAGCCCAGCTCAAGCCATTACGGTCATTTGGGGAGTGAACCAGCAGATAGAAGACCTCTCTCTCTGTCTCTCCCTCTCTGTCTGTAACTCTGCCTTTCAAACAAATAAATAAAATGTTTTTAAAAAATAAAAATTTCACAAAAAAAGTCATAAATGGCCCTATGCTTTAAAGTATATTACCATCTTTATATATTTTAAAACAAACTAGACAATAGTCCTTATGGTTGCCCTCAAGTTATTTTATGGGTACTTTGTTGATTCCTAACTCATTAGTATATCAGCCTTTTGAGCTTTCTTATCATATGACGTATTTTTTTCCTACAGAATTATGATCTGGCACTGAAGTATTTCCAGAAAGCTGCTGAACAAGGCTGGGTGGATGGGCAGCTACAGCTTGGTTCTATGTACTATAGTAAGTAATGTTGGTGTTGAGAAATTTATAATGGATACAGCAAGATCTGACTTAACCCATCTTTCCAGAAGGGGGACCATAGTATGGAAAACAAAGCTGTCTAGTTTGGGCCGATTGATTTACTGCCACTTCAGTGATTTGCACATCTTATTTTGTGTTGTATTGGTTTGTATCAGTTGTATTAGTCTGTACCAATATGGTGATCTATATTAATCAGACTGACATGCTTACTGAGTAAGAATTGTGACTTTATGCTTTTCCTCTTTGTATTTAAGTCTTCTCTAATGCTTAGCTAAATGTCATTTAGGGCTATGCCTAACCTCTGATATGATTCATTTCTTACAGATGGCATTGGAGTCAAGAGAGATTATAAACAGGCGTTGAAGTATTTCAACTTGGCTTCCCAGGGAGGCCATATCTTGGCTTTCTACAACTTAGCACAGATGCATGCCAGCGGCACTGGTGTGATGCGATCCTGTCACACTGCAGTGGAGGTATGGTCTTCTCTGCCCTCTTGTGTGTGGGACATTGATTTGCCCAGTAGGACTGTGTGTGTTCTTTTAATTCTGGGTGGGTTTGTTTGGTTTTTTTGTTTTTTGGTTCTTTTATTTGCATTTCTTCTGCAGAAGAAACAAGACTCAACCTCCTAGCATTGAGATATGAGGGCAGACTCTGGTAGTCTGAGTATAACTGTTGTACTTTATTTAGTTTGTGTATACCTGTTAGAAACAGCGTTTGTAAGGACAGATACTGGTTTATGTACTAATTAGAGTACCTTAGACAGTACCTGAAAAAATGTATGTTGAATGATGTTCTAAAGGGGAATGCTAATATATCCTAACTGGAAATTTCCCTCTTTAACTCTGTCATGCCCAGTACTTTAAAGTGACATTGATAAACATCAGCAAAGAGTCCAGATCTCTGTGTGCTTTAGTTTCCTCACCTTTTTTTTTTTTTTTTAAGATTTATTTATTTACTTGAGACAGAAAGAGAGACAGGTTTTCCATCCACTGGTTCACTCCCCAGATGGCCGTAATCTGGAGCCAGGAGCCAGGATCTTCTTCCGGGTCTCTGACATGGGTGCAGGGGCCCAAGCACTTGGTTGTCTCACTGCCTTCCCAGGTCATAGCAGAGAGCTGAATCGGAAAAGGAGCAACCAGGACATTAACTGGCACCCATATGGAATGCTGGCGCCTCAGGCAGAGCCTTAACCTACTATACCACAGCTCCAGCCCCTCCTTTTTTTAAGATTTACTTATTTACTTGAGAGGCAGAGTTACAAAGGGAGAGAGAGAGAAATAAAGATCTTCCATCTGCTGGTTCACTCTCCAAGTAGCTACAACAGCCAGAGCTGAGTTGATCTGAAGTCAGGAGCCAGGAGCTTCTTCCAGGTCTCTCACATGGGTGCAGGGACCCAAGGACTTGGGCCATCTTCTACTGCTTTCCCAGGCCACAGGAGAGAGCTGGATCAGAAGTGGAGCAACCAGGACATGAACTGGCACTTATATGGGATGCTGGCACCACAGGCAAAGACTTAACCTACTATACCACAGCTCCAACCCCTCCTTTTTTTTTTTTTTTTAAGATTTACTTATTTACTTGAGAGGCAGAGTTAGAGACAGAGACAGAGAGAGAGAGAGATCTTCCATCGGCTGAGTTTCTGGCTCTCCGTTTCATTAGCCTTTCCCAGCTCTGGATGTAGTAAGCATTTAGGGATTGAATGAGCAGATGGGAGCTCGCTTTGTGTCTGCCTCTCTCTATCTCTTCCCACCACTGGCTGCCTTTGAAACAAATAAAACAAATACATAAATTAAAAAAAAAAAAACAGAAAGCAAGTAGCCAGATAGTCAAAGAGCAAGCATAACAAACACTTGTAGCTGGAATACAAAAGTTATTTTCTGGCAGATCCTTCTGGCTTTATAGTTGTTTTGTTTTTTTTCTCTTCTCACAGTTGTTTAAGAATGTGTGTGAACGAGGCCGTTGGTCTGAGAGGCTTATGACTGCCTATAACAGTTACAAAGATGGTGACTACAATGCTGCCGTGATCCAGTACCTCCTGCTGGCTGAGCAGGGCTACGAAGTGGCACAGAGCAATGCAGCCTTCATTCTTGATCAGAGTAAGGCTCACTTCAGTCCTCTGGTTTACATCAGGCTACCTTGTTTGAAAAGCAGAGCCACAAAGAAGCATTCTTTTTTTGTTATTGTTGTAAATGGAACCCAACCCACATGCTTAAAGTTACTTTGCCTCAAATCCCTAAGCAGTCAGCATTAATTTCATAGTTAGAATTGAAAACAGAAATGGATCTGACAGTCATGTTTAAAGTAATTGCACCCAGTAAATGTATTTCTGAAAATATACCGTATGTAAAAATGCCATTTTTCCAATGCTTTAGATTCTTAAATGTGGCTGAATAATTAGTCTCATTATTAGTGCTGTGGATAAAACATGTGTCAGAAAGTAGTGTTGTCCTGAATCCAGTGATTCCTTTGAATTCAGTATTTTATTCCATTACTTTTTTTTAAAGATTTATTTATTTATTTGAAAGGCAAAGTTACACAGAGAGTGAAGGAGAAGCAGAGAGAGAGAGAGGTCTTCCATCTGCTGGTTCACTCCCCAGTTGGCCGCAATGGCTGGAACTGTGCTGATCCAAAGCCAGGAGCCAAGAGCCTCCTCCAGGTCTCACACGCAAGTGCAGGGGCCCACGGACTTGAGCCATCCTCCACTGCTTTCCCAGGTCATAGCAGAGAACTGGATCAGAAGTGGGGCAGCCAGGACTCGAACCAGCACCCACGTGGGATGCCAGCACTGCAGGCGGCGGCTTCACCCACTCTGCCACAGCACCAGCCCCCCATTACTTTTTTAATCTAGTGCTTGTTATATCTTAATTCTTTTTAACTTGGGCTCCACATATTCACCTGAGTTTGCTAATAAAGCCTGAAAGTCTAATGGCTTTGCTTGGATGCCTGATTTGTATTTCATTTCTTTTTCTGTAGGAGAAGCAACCATTGTAGGTGAGAATGAAACTTATCCCAGAGCTTTGCTACATTGGAACAGGGCTGCCTCCCAAGGTAAGTGGTCAATTCTAAGGAAAGAGTTTCACCCAGGAGACCTCTCTATTTTTTTAACCTCTCATGAACATTAAATTGTGCCATTTATCACCTTAAAATTAAGCAACAGTATTTTTGTTTAACTTGCTTGTATTTATTCTCAAAATAGTAGTTCCTGGGCCAGGGTTTCTTTTTCTTTCTTTGCTTCCTTTTTCTTTTTTTTTTTTTTTAAGATTCGTTTACTCATTTGAAAGGCAGAGTTAGAGGGAGAGACAGAGATTCTTTTTCCATCTGCTGGTTCACTCCCCAGTTGCTGCAACAGCCAGAGCTGTACCTCTGTGAAGCCAAGAGCCAGGAGCTTCTTCTGGGTCTCCCGCATATTTGCAGGGGCCCAGTTACTTGGGCCATCCTCCATTGATTTTCCAGGCACAATAGCAGGGAGCTGAAGCAAAGCATCCAGGACTCAAACCAGAGCCCCTATGGGGTGCCAGCACCACAGGTCGCAGCCTAACCTGCTACGCCACAATGCCAGCTGCAGAGTTTCTAAATTAAATTGAAAAGTCTCTACTGGATTTCCATCATACTCTGGTTCACTCTTTGGCTTCTAGTTTGAGGCCAGTTTATTGTACAAAATGAAAGAATTGAATAGATCATGTATAAGAAGCTAATAGACTTGAACCTTTCCCCACTCTTTCTTTTGAATATTTCTTTCTCACACGTAGTTCTCTCAGCCTTGTCTGCCTATCCCATACTCAGTGATCAGATGAAACTAAATATTATAGTGTGTAAATGACATGATAAAGCAGAACTTGATCATTCGAAGATATTTCAGTGAAAAGGCAAGAACCACCCGCCATTGTTCTCTCCCAGACTATCCGAAAGCATTCTGCAGAAGAGCTGCACGGCTAGTATAAATTTTTACTGACTTCATAACTGACTAAGAATTTGTCATATTGGCACATTAACAGGAAGAGAAATAACAGATTAGTATGTTTAAGCATAATTGATTTACCTGCTGTTTTGCGTTTAATTCTTGTTTAAGGCTATACTGTGGCCAGAATTAAGCTTGGAGACTACCATTTCTATGGATTTGGCACAGATGTAGATTATGAGACTGCATTTATTCATTATCGTCTGGCTTCTGAGCAGCAACACAGTGCACAGGCCATGTTCAATCTGGGATATATGCATGAGAAAGGACTAGGCATTAAACAGGTAAGTGTGGCTTCAAAACAAATGCTTGACTAAAATAATTGAGATCAAAGGAACCATCTTAATTTGTGTAGAAAATAGACTCTGGATTCAGTAAGATTTTAGGCCACTGATTTGTAATATTTCAGAAGACAACCTTTATATATCTCCCAGCACATATACACATTAATATCCACACTGTTATATTTACAGTGTTAAGATAGATTCATGAAAACGGAAACACAGTGCTGCTTGTATTTTTGATTCATTGAGAATTTCTGTCTATCTTCACCCTGATTTTATTGTCTGTAAGTTATTTCTTCTTATTATTTTTTTAAGATTTTTTTTATTTATTTGAAAGGCAGAGATGAAAGGAGAGAGAGAGAGAGAGATCTTCCATCTGCTCGTTCATTCCCCAGATGGCCACAATGACTGGAGCCAAGCATGTGCAGGGGCCCAAGTACTTGGGCCACCTTCTGCTACTTTCCCAAGGTGCATTAGCAGGAAACTGGATTGGAAGTGGAGCAGCCAGGACTCGAACTGGCGCCCATATGGGATGCTGGCACTGCAGGCAGAGGCTTAACCTATGCCACAGCGCCGGCCCCTGTAAGTCATTTCAAACTGAATAAAAATGTTTTCTGCTGACAAACTGACTTCTGATTCTCAGAACTTCCTAATGAAGTCTGAGTTTTTGTTTGTGTACCTGCAAAGGAATTTTTAAATACAATTCCCTTGTGCATTTAAAATTTTTCTTAAACTTCAAAAGGTCTAAATTCCAGCTATTTTAAATCTTAATAGTTTTAAATTAAATTACTCTTAAAATATTCAACAGAATCTAAATACCAAAACAATTTGATAACCCATCATTATTAAACTTTTAAAAATATATCATTAAGATCCTTAATTAAAACTGTATCATTCCATTTTCTCCCTAAATTTTTATTTTTAGCTGGTACTATAGACTTATATGCTGATGTAACTTTTCGATGATTACATCTTTTACTGACTAATCTCTTATGGGAATAAATATGTAAATACATTGTGAATTTATTTCCTGTGATCTAAGTGTTAAGAGTTTGTAAGATATTACTAGTCACAGTTTGTCAGCAAATTATTAATATATTGATCAAATTTAAAAAAGTTATGAAACTTTATGTTTTGTGTTAAGTAAAAATTCTTCGAATGAGATGAATGGAGCATTCTCTAAAAATTTTGTGTTATCATTTATACATTTAGCTTTAATTCTGTTTTTTTTAACTTCATAAATGTATCACTGGAACCCTACATAAATAAGTATATGGGAAGGGGAAGTGTTTTTATAAAAGCAGAGTCACTTAATTCTTTAAGCTGCTTAATGGTTTTATGAAAAAAATCAGTGATGTGTTATTAAAAATTATATTTAATGATCTATTATCTGCTAACAACTTGATAAGGTCCCCCTTCAGTTCTGTTGAAAGCAAAGAATTGGAAACCAGATACGAAAAATGATGTGTTCCTCTGTCACTGGAACCATTCACTTTCTAGTTTCTTAGAAAAACGTGGAAAAGACTTTACTGAGGCCAGTGCTGTGGCATAGCAGGTTAAGCCTCTGCCTGCAAGGCTGGCATCTCACATGAGTGCTGGTTCGATCCCAGTTGCTACACTTCCGATCTAGATCCCTGATAATGCACCTGGGGAAGCAACAGAAGATGGCCCAAGTACTTGGGCCCCTACACCCACTTGGGAGACCTGGATTAAGCTTCTGGCTCCTGGCTTCGACTTGGCCATTGCAGCCATATGGAGAGTAAACCAAGGGATGGAAGATTTCTCTCTCTCTTCCTCTCTCTTTCTGTAACTGCCTTTCTAAAACAAAAATAAATCTTTAATAATAAAAAAAAAAGTCTACCAAGTCATAAGAAATGATTGTTACTATACCTCTCTCTGTAGTGACACTTTTTATAGACACTTTGTTAACCTAATGTGCTTCAGGATTAAGAGAAAGTTATTAAATCCATTTTACTGATGAACCACGTTTTAACAAAATGCTCATTTGATCACACTTAAATATTTTAGTTTAAATGTTAGTTTTGTGTTTTAAAATGTACATTAATATGGATGCCATCATTTATTAATATTACTTAAATATAGTTTTAACAAGAGTCTGGAGCTGCAGGCTCAATGCACTCCATTTCTGGAAGATCGATGCTCTTTAGCACGGTTATTAAAGCTCTTCTTCATTGTAGACCAGTCAGCCAAAACAGAGTTAGTTTCCATCACAAGGCTGACTTTGCTTTTTTTAAGTCAAAGTTTAATATGTGTTTGATGATTAATGTAAAGATCACATACATATAAGTTATGGCATTTATGAGGTATATCTAATAATAATTTACTGAAAGTCAAGACTAAAATGATGCAAGTAATACTGTATTTGTATAATGTTATAAAAATCTTGTGCTTGTGACAATTTGTAATATGGATAGCTAATATTATAAATTCTTGTTAATTGCGGGTGCCACGGCTCAATAAGCTAATCCTCCGCCTGCGGCGCCGGCACCCCGGGTTCTAGTCCTGGTCGGGGTGCCGGATTCTGTCCCGGTCGCTCCTCTTCCAGTCCAGCTCTCTGCTGTGGCCCAGGAGTGCAGTGGAGGATGGTTCAAGTGCTTGGGCCCTGCACCCGCATGGGAGACCAGGAGAAGCACCTGGCTCCTGCCAACGGATCAGCGTGGTGCGCCGGCCATAGCGTGCCAGCCACAGCGGCCATTGAGGAGTGAACCAGCGGAAAAGGAAGACCTTTCTCTCTGTCTCTCTCTCACTGTCCACTCTGCCTGTCAAAAAAATTAAAAAAAGAAAAAAGAAAGAAAAATTCCTGTGAATAAAGAATATGGTAAAAGGCATAGTATTCCTTTGAAATGAGTGGGAGCAGGGAATTCAGGTTCAGCTTTTGAGAATAAATGATCATCGATTAAAAATCAGAAAATTTCGTTAGGTTTCCTAAGACATCGTGTAATTAAGTTTCTAAAAGAAAGAAAAAGTGGCAGTTACCATTGAGATACATTGACTTGGAACAGCCCTTGTCTGAGCTGTTGAGGATCAACTTTTGTTCTTTTTTTTATATTTTTTTTGTTTTTAGTTTTTTTGTTTGTTTTGGATTTTTTGTCTTTCTCCCTTTTTCTTCCTTATACAAAGTGCTAAACTCTTTACCTAGAATAGAGTTAGTCTTCTCTGTATAAAGTTTGATCTTAGTAAAAAGACTGAGAATAGGAGAGGGAAAAGAAAGAGGGGTAGGAGTGTGGGTGGGAGGGTGGGACCAGTGGGAAGAATTGCTGTGTTCCTAAAGTTGTAGTTATGAAATGATGCAAATAAAATATGTATATATATGTAAAAAGACATTATGATAATCTTTTTCCCTTTTTTCTATTTTTTTAAATGAAAGAGACATTCATATAGCTAAAAACCAATCAATCCAGTGTCTACTTCTGCTTAGAAAATATCAAGTAGTCACTAAGATGAGGATTGGGTATAATTGGAAAAAAAATTCAGGATATGATTTGACAAGTTTAGTTACCCTATTGAATCTATTTAATTACTCTGTTGAAGCCAGCACCGCAGCTCACTTGGCTAATCCTCCGCCTGTGTCACCAGTACCCCAGGTTCTAGTCCCGGTTGGGGCGCCATTTCTGTCCTAGTTGCTCCTCTTCCAGTCCAGCTCTCTGCTGTGGCCCGGGAAGGCAGTGGAGGATGGCCCAGGTGCGTGGGCCCTGCAGCTGCATGGGAGACCAGGAGGAAGCACCTGGCTCCTGGCTTCCGATTGGCACAACGTGCTGGCCGTAAGGGCCATTTGGGGGGTGAACCAATGGAAAGACCTTTCTCTGTGTGTGTGTGTCTCTCTCTCTAACTCTGCCTGTCAAAAAAAAAATTTACTCTGTTGAATCATCTTTAGAGTATTTATATGTTACCACACAACGTTTAATTCATCATCTTGAGAAATATAGTCATCAAAAAATTTGGAGGTTTATTTTTAAAAAACTCAGAGACACTAATACAGTTGCCATTATTTGGGAGTGCCTTTTTTTTTTTTTTTTTTTTTTTTTTGACAGGCAGAGTGGACAGTGAGAGAGAGAGACAGAGAGAAAGGTCTTCCTTTTGCCGTTGGGTCATCCTCCAATGGCCGCCGCCGCCAGCGCACCACGCTGATCCGAAGCCAGGAGCCAGGTGTTTCTCCTGGTCTCCCATGCGGGTGCAGGGCCCAAGGATTTGGGCCATCCTCCACTGCACTCCCGGGCCACAGCAGAGAGCTGGCCTGGAAGAGGGGCAACCGGGACAGAATCCAGTGCCCCGACCGGGACTAGAACCCGGGGTGCTGGCGCTGCAAGGCAGATTAGCCTATTGAGCCGCGGCGCCGGCCAGAAGTGCTCTTCTTTTTAACTAATGATACAACTTAGAGACAAGAAGTGACTGAAAGTAACTGCTTATATTTAAATATGTTAGGAGAAAAAAGTCATTTTCAGAGATTAGCCTTTCTTTCCCATGTCTCATGGAATTCTTTCCTAAAAGTTTGGTATTCTTTGCCAGTGGGCATGGAAGAAATGAGATTTTTAAGTGAAACTTGTCATAAATGCCCTCATTCCATTTTACCACATATCTGAATTCAGAACACTCAGCCTGGGCCAAACTTATAATAACTTGTTTCACTCTTCAGAGAAATATTAAGATGCTCCATTGTGAGATTAGTCGAACGAACCTTCTGTAAAACCATTATTTCTAGGTATTTCTTTGTGAGAGAGCCCCCCCCAAAGCAGTGCACTGAGAAAGGAGTGAGGAGGTGAGGTTGTGCCATTTTTTTATAAAGAGTAGAGAGCTTGCTGGTCACACAGGCAAGTTTCAGGCAGATCTCTTTCAGGAGAAACAAGTATGAAAGTTGAGAAACTACAAAGTAATATCCCCTAACACTGTCCACGCAGGTTGCTACCTCTTGGAAAATCCTATTTTTCCACTCCAGTTTGAAGAAGACTGCCCCAAAGTGGAACCATATGTTTCGTATTGGTAAAAAATTAGTTTGAAACTTTGAGATTGTCCTTAGAACTCCCCAGGTTAAGAGTGTTAGGCGAAGATATATGTCTGTATCCAGCATGTCTACATAGGAGATGGAATTTCAAGGAGAAATAAGTTTGCTAATTTTTGATTACAGTTTTCAAAAATTAAGAAGGTGGATAAAGAAATTGTACCCAAGTAAAGCTTGTTTTTTTTTTTTTTTCCTTTAGGTAAGGGAAATTCATTTTAAAATGGAAATCTGAAATGTTAGATAAATTTTCCTAATATGTAAACTGAGTGAATATTTCTAGTTACTTTGACAGGAAAATAACTTTGGCTTATTACCTGTGTTATAGGATATTCACCTTGCCAAGCGTTTCTATGACATGGCAGCTGAAGCCAGCCCGGATGCACAAGTCCCAGTCTTCCTAGCTCTATGCAAATTGGGCGTTGTCTATTTCTTGCAGTATATACGGGAAACAAATGTAAGTAGTCCACTTCTCTTTTAATTAAAACACAAATACTGTCACCTTCCCAGTCCTGGAGGTTTGTATTTAAAAAGCTGAGGAGTCAGGTAGATTTTTAGCCTAACAGTTAAGATGCCTGTGTCCCACATTGGAGTAAGTGGGTTTTTATTCCTGGCTCAGACTCCTGACTCCAGCTTCTTATTAAATGCAAACCCTGGGAGGCAGCAGTGATGGTTAACATACAGACCTGGATAGTGGTCCACGCCCCGGTTTCAACCTTAGACCAGCCACAGCCATTGTGGGCATTTGAGGAATGAACCAGTGAATGGGAGCTCTTGCCTATTTTTGTCTCTGTCTATCTCTCCCTCTCCAAAAAATAAACAAATGGCCTTCAGGTATCAGGATTCTTCCCTTTTCCCCCAGGTAAAGTGCTGTAGGGCTTCACGCATATGAAGGGTGAATATGGAAACAAAGCAGAGCTCACAGCTGTCAGTGATTCCTAATGCTGATGTATCTTTCATGGATGCAAATATTTCTGGTTTGGGCAAGGCTGAGACCAATTCATAGCAGATTGAAACAGTAGTCAGCTAAATTCAGTAAGCATGAAATCAGATCACTGCCTGGCAGTGAATCAGACTGGTCCCTAAAAAGAAAAAGGCGGTGCTTGGGGGTAGGAAGGAGAAGCACCTGAGAACCTGCCCAGGTTGTACTTGAGGTTCTGATAGTGAAACAAAAGTCAAAGCATTACTAGAATTTTCTTCTCTAAAAATAACTTGAATTATGTAAATAAGGGTAGATCCTAGATGGGAAATGGATTACTCATTCTTCTCACAATTACCAACTTTATTTAATAGTACTTACTTGTAGGTCCTCATAGGTTCTCCCAGTTCTACGCTTTGTTTAAAGGACCTGTAGTTCCTAATAATGAGTTAACTGGTATGGCATTTAACTCCGAAAGCCCTAAAGGGTTCAGGGCTGTTTCACACTAGTACCATCAGGACCATTGCAATCTTTTGTCTTTCTAAGCACAGACTGAATCGCTGCTGTACTATCACGTGTGCTGCCAGCATCCCCCACATGTAGGGCTCCAGAGAGCTGCAGGTGTTGGACTCTATTCTGGTCACGGGTACACATGTGCTGTCATTTGTAAAACTGCTCAGGATTGTGAGCCAGGGTGTGCTGTACCCTCTGCCAATTCAAATGATCTTTGTTCCTCTAATTAAAAAGCTAACAGTGTGGAACCTGCTATTTGTCTGTCTTTTGTCTCCCCCCGTTTTCATCACTAGTAAACTGTTGGCTAAAGTCTGGTACTGGATCTCACAATCTTATACCATATTGAGTGTATTACTACATCTTTAATGTTTTTTTTAATGCACAGTATAAAGACAATAATAAAATATCCCATAATCTTACCATCCACATACTCCAACTGAAAAAATGCAAAACTAGTAAATATTGAAAGTCAAACATTATAGAAAAGCACAAAATCGCTCAGCTCTGGCCTCCAAAGAGCACAGTTAGTCTCTGGTAAATTTTAGCTCTAGAAAAATTTAGCACCTATACTTACAGATATGTAATATGGGGACCTATTAAATGTAATTTTATGCTGAAGAAGGGCCGTACCCCATATTTGCATATTTTATGAGTGAGTAGTAAGAAAATGTCAGGAATATCTTTTAAATGACATTAAAACAATTAAAATCTCATACAATAATACAACTTTTAAGTTCAGATTCAAGTGTTAAATATCCTGTGCTTTCATTAAATGCTAACTAAAAGGCATTATTCACTCAGCTGTTAAACGTTTGAATTCCTATAGTCTTGAGTTTCATGAGCGAAGTAGTGACAGCCAGCTGTGACTGTGGTTAGGACAGAGCCTTTCAGCTGTGCCTTCAAATAGGCTACAAGAGTACCAAGGTACTGAATTTCCCCTCCGTCTCCCCTTCTTCCAGTGTTCCTTTCAAGCATTTTCTGTGGAAAAAATGGCTGGAAATGGCATTAGATTAATAATGGAAAGTGCTCTACTAAACATCTTAGATAATCGGTGGTTACAAAATCATGGGTCAGTTCAGCTAGTTCTTCCCCTCACACTGCATTGATAATAACTATCTTTATATTATTTTCGTTTAAGATTCGAGATATGTTCACCCAACTTGATATGGACCAGCTGTTGGGACCAGAGTGGGACCTTTACCTCATGACTGTCATCGCATTGCTGCTGGGAACAGTCATAGCTTACAGGCAGAGGCAGCACCAAGACATGCCTGTACCCCGGCCTCCTGGGCCACGGCCAGCGCCGCCGCAGCAGGAGGGGCCTCCGGAGCAGCCGCCACCACAATAACAGCCACTGTTTCCAGCCTCAGTCAGTGACAGCTAAGGAAGCTGTTTGCTGAGAGCACGTGGACTTGACTTAGGACTTTGGATCAGTGGCCACCTCCCGGAAGAGGCACAGGAAGCATTGAGTTCCTAAAGCTGCTTAGAATCTGATGCCTTTATTTTCAGGGATGAGTAACTCTCACCTACACTGAGTTGAATGTTTGTTCAGTGCCATATGGAATAACAACTCTCAGTGGCTTTCCTCTTTTTTTTTTTTTTTTTTTCCTGGAAACATGAGACACACACAAAGTAATGTCTGCTGCATCCAGCTGTCTTTCTTGGGCCCTTTCTGTCATTCTCTCAATGTGCATAAGTTCTTATGTTAGCCATCTTTAAAGTCATGTACATTGACAGTAAAAACTGATCAATGTAAAAAGGAAAGCCCAGTTAGTTGCAAGTTTAACCTTAAACATATTTAGAAGTCTAAAAATAGAATTTGCGTTTTAAGTAAAAAAAAAAAAAAAAAAAAAAAAAACGTTTTGGAACTGCAGTAACAGAAACTTTTACCAGTCCCCATGCGGTATACATATTCTGCATATTTGTTATTTTTAAAGGGAGGTTTCTTTTTATTGGTGATTGTCATACTTTATACCATACTTCCCTCCTTCAAAGACTGAGAGGCCTTGTTAAAGAATTCTGTGTAGACTTCTCCTCTTTGGAATGACCTATATATAAAACTTTGTGACTTCTTGCACTAACATGTGAATTTGCCCCACCTACTCAGTGTAATTAGCTTGTTTTGAGTATGCAGAGCCTTGATCCAGAAGCCAGGGGATGAACTAACTAAATGGAAAAATTAGAAAACAGTAGCAACTCTGGATGAGGTACCAAGGTCACAAACACACTTTTCGAAAAGTTGAAGGATTTGTTCCCAGGATTTATCTTAATTTACATTTCTTATTGCACAAAGAATAGATCACCCACCTGAGTTTTACAAATATGAACTATCCTTGCCAGGATGGGGCATATAGTGACTACTGTAACATCCTGAAAGTCTGCCGAAGAATCAAACATGGATTAAACTCAGTGGTTGACAAAAGCCAGATCCTGTTTGTACTGTTGTGCACTATTCAGGTGGTTTTTTATCTCTGACAATTTATATCACAGTAGAAAGCCACTTGCTTAGCTTTTAACTCACCATCGTCCTGGTAACATTAGGAAAATCAAGGCTACTAAGAATCATGTGATGAAATAGTATGGGGGATAAAACAACTACAGAATTGAGAAGTTCACATGATCACACAAATGGAAGAATTAAACCAAATTTGTATTTCCTTCTGTTGTCAGTAGGTGTTGTGCACTAGCCTGTCTCCAAGACTGTTAGTAAGCAAGCAGGCTATCTATGCCTGCTGACATCAGTCTATTTATGTTAACCTTTATGCTTTGTTCTCATAATCCCTCAGCTGCCAGAAGACTTGAAGAGTTTATTACTTTTAGAGTTGCAATGTTTTGGTTTTTGAAGTTGGAATTGTATTTAGAACTAAATTTAATTAGTCCAGAATTTACATGAAGGCTTTAAATGTGAAGTTGTGTACTTTTTTATGTTTAGAGTATTATGGGAAACTGGTCCTCCTAGATAATTGCTTCTAACTTGGAAGATGTCATCACAGAGAGAATTATTTATAAGGAAACATGTTTGTTTGAAGATAGGAAATCAGAAGTATAATGTTGCTTTGGGAAGTTCTTGTGAATATTAAGGGTGTTCGGTCTCTGACCCCTAGAGATCTGAGTACGGTCGATGTAATGCATTGTTGTCTCCACTGCCTCTTCTCCCCTACACCTTCATAGTAAGTATAATCCATGGTAGCAGCCACACTTCTTTTAGAAGGAACTCTATTAATTTATTTAAAAGTTGAAAACCACCTAAGATGACTGTCAACTTACTTTTTTTTCCCTGTACCGTCTGATCAATCCTTTAGGGGCATTTTTATATGTATCTTCACTTCCCTCAGAAATATTTCTTAAACGAGTGTGCACTACCTAGGCCACGTGGGAAAGTGTAGTGTCGTTCTTTAGTAACAAACGTCCTGCTTGTCGACTCCCGCTTTGCGCTCTTTCTCAGTACTCCTAGTTCAGATACCCTTTCCTTGGCTTCTTCCCATCTTCTCTAATTTGCTACCAGAAATCTGAATGGTTTATTTAAAATAGCTTAGTCCTTATGGCTTAAAAACTGTCTCAAAATACTTTGTCCCCTTTTTCTTTTTTGTTCATGGGACATGGTACCTAAGCAAAGAGGAATTGGGTTTAGTTTTTCTCCTAAAAATAATGCTCAATACTTACCTAATCAAATGGCATCCATTTGAATAAAGTGACAATAACTAAAGCTAGTTAATGTCAGTGACATTAAACTAACTCCAGGATTCAGGAGTTTTAATGTTAGAACTTAGACTTAACAGATAGAGTGTGGTTTCATTTCTCTCTGGTAGCTCATCTTCCTTACCCTTAGACTGAGTCTTCCTGCCTTGGAAGGGGATGACAGTAGAACTCTATTGAGCTCAGACAAGTATTCTCCTGTACATTTGGTTTGCTGGTTAACCAGCCGTTTCAGGGTCTTGAGTCCATCCGTGTTGCTTCTGTTTTGTTGTACAAAGGTAGCATTGGTGCTTTTTTTTTTTTTCTGTGTTGCCTAAAGTTATTGCTTCTGTTTTCTGGGTGAGACTTACTTTATTAATTAATAGTCAAGTGGCACAGAAAAAATAAATCAAAGCCTTCTATTTTTCAAAATTCATTATTTAGCACTTGAATCAGATTAGCTTATGAATCATTAGTTTTGATACTCGAGTATCAAGAGATACTCTGCATAAAAGGCGGATCTGTAGCTTTTGCCACTATGCTATTTTATTTCTGTACTATTGGGAGGCTTTAGAAAATTTCACCAGTGTTCTGGTGATGATCTGATGGTTTATTCAATTAAGGAGCTATGCACGCCTCCAGGAAACCTAAGTATTTTATATATAGGATATTTGTTTTTTGGGCTTTTTGGTTCTTTTTGCTTTGGTTTCACTCCCTTCTTTGTTCCTCGTGTTTGTTCTTCAAACCAATGTCTAGGAAGTATGCATGCAGGCCTATGAATGAAAACCACAGTTCTTCATTTGTGTAGCATGTGTATCAATGTCCAACTACGTATGCAAAAACTTCCTTTATGGAGAGTTGAACTAATACGTCACATGCACATTTCAGAACAAGATGCTTAAGGTAAACAGCCCTGTTTTTACCTGCCGAGATGAGCATGGCTATATTTGTTCCAGTGACAGCTGGTATTTGTTTTGAAAGCCAGTCCGATATACATTACACAATATTGTGACTAGCAGCATGCATGAAATAACGAGAGCAAAAGAAAACTTCTATTTTCATGCAAATCTTTTTCATCAGACATTACTCTTAAATATAAGTGAAAATAAAATTTCTGAATGCTGTATTGTCTTAGGCGCTACCTGGTTTTTAAATGTGTAATTTTCATTGAAAACAAGCTAAATTTCTCCATTCTCAAAGTATTTTAAGAGAAATTAAAACAAGTAAAACTGTTTTGCATTTTAAAGTGACTATTTACACAAGTGAAAATCTGGTTTTGTGTGCGTGGGAAGGATCCCTTAGTTGTACGCAGGGAGCCATCTCAAATGTGCTGTTTCTCAGATTTGGATGACAAGCAGGCTGATGCTATTTTCTTTGATTTATTAAAATGTTGATATGATCAAGGCATAACCACTATAAATATTTAGGAGAGGAAGTTTAGAAAGACCATAAGATGGCATTGTAAAGGAACACCATGTTAGACTTTTTTTTGTAAATTTATTTTGTATTTAATGAAACGCAGTATAAAGGGTGGTGAAGTGTAATATAATTGTGTAAACAAACAAATCCTGTTAATAGAGAGTTGTACAGATTTGTTTTGTACTGTATCTTGAAACTTGTGAAATAAAGATCCACCTCCAGTTATCCTGTATGCTCTAATGTACCATGGCCAAGCACCTCTCCAGCCAGACTTCTTTTTTTTAAACTGAACAATTCAACTTTCTATTGAACCTTTTTTAGAAAGAAACTTCTGGAAAACATTCACATATGGCCATTTGAATCCCATTTGTCATTCTTAACTACTGAAAATCAGATTCCTCTAAGTTTAATATTGCCCTAAGGATAATATAGATTTGCTAAGAAATGTTATTTTTAAATGTGATTTTTTTAAACTGAATTCACCTGTGATATGTAGTAAGCATAAACTGTTTAACTTAGCATGATTATAATTTGAAATGTATTTATGTATATAACACGGTAAGTGTGAAGATCTGACTAGAGAGGAAATGAGAAAGAAAATCATATTAAACCAGGCATGAGCTTTGTACACAAAAGGCAGATTAGAAGTGGGATACACATTGATCCTTGACTTCCTGGTAGCCCACTCCAAAAGGCAATTGAGGCAAAACATTCCATCTTGGGATATCCTTAGATTAAAATCTGTATGATGCAAATTGTGCCAAGTAGATCCTGAATTTACTTTCCAGAGTACAGTCAGCCCCTTGGGTGATGTTCACTGATCTGGGGTAAAACACAGAAGGTAAGGGTAAGTGCGATGTAGGCACTGTCGCATCAGCAGGCCGGAGTTGGATGTGGTGCTTCCTCACCACTTGAGCATCTCCGACGTCTTCAAAATGAAGCTCTGACTTCCTCAGCAGCACCTTGGTGAGAATCAGCTCTTTCCTCTAACTTCTGTTAATACGAATGTAGATTGATTATGCCAGCTCTGAAATTTACTAAGAGCATGAACATGAATTATGTGCAAGTAAGCAATTAGAAGTAATTTATGTAATAGCAGCTTTGGGAAACACAAGGAAGATTTTCACTTTCTGGATATTTTCCATGAAGTGAACAACAGAAGAGCTTTAATATCTGCCCGTTCTAAAGGAAGTACTGCTGTGTCATGAGCCTTGTATATTTCTCCTCCTGTCACTTCTGTCACTACTTTAAAAACAGAATGAACAATCTTATGCTTAAATCTTAATAATTATACCAATCTAGCTAGTGGTTTATTGTTAGTATTACTTTTTGGGCAAAACTCTGATTTTCCTAGAGACCAGATTCTTTGTCTCTGGATTAGTATGCTGAACTTTTTATTAAATGCCATTTCTAAAAACCCCACATAATTTTTTCTCACAGAAGTTTACTAGAATGCTATAGATTAACTAATGTGATAAGTTAAAATTGTAAATATTTTTGTTGTTATACAATCCAATTTCTCTTTGCCTTTTCTCTACTACCCAATAGAACTTCATTAATTAGTTCCTCGGGGTTGAACAGAATTCCTCTAAAATCTTGTAATGTTAGATCAGAGATTCAAGTATCCAGAGTAAGGAGTCTGGCTGCATGTAAGATGTCATAGAGTTTTAAGTGGTATGAGATTTAAATATGAACAACAGAAACCTCCCTTCTTGGAAACAGTTTTATTTCAAGGTGTGAAAGTCAGCTGTGGGTTTCAAGATTTGCCCTCTGGGATTCCCTACTCTTGCACCATACCCTTGACCACAAGATACTTTTTCTTAAAATCTGATTAACTTTGTCTGAAATGAGTAGAGTGTCATTCTGATGAGGGTGGGGAGATAGTGTGCAGCCCCGAGAACCTTCCTGCTGGCTTTAACCCTCTTACGGGCTAGTGGACTGTCCTTCCATTCTGCCGAGCTGCACGTGTATTTTTATTGCGTACTACTTGGACATCTCGTCGGGTGACATCTCACAGGGTCCCTGGATGTTTGCTTTCAGAGCCAGGTGAGAGCAGAACTGGTTTCGCAGTAGCCCTGTTTCAGGCTGAGCTGAAATGTGTTCTGTAAGCAGAAAGGTCCACACCAGAGCTGTGAACAACAGCCTTTATTGCCTCAAAGGCCAGAAAAAGATAATGAAAGAAGCCTTCTTTGTTGAATGGCTCCCTGTATTTTATCACTCATTTGCGGCTTAAAAGTAATTAAATCTTCATAGCTAAACTGGTATTTTGTGTACTCAGGTTAGCTAAACTAAAGAGACTATTAGGTCTCACCAAATAGTACAGTAAGTTAGGACAGGAGTAGTGAAGTTCAGGAAAGGCCCACAAACAGGGATGAAACCTCAAATTTACAGAAAAACTAAATTCCATCCTATTAAACCTAATACTAATTTTTAATTGGGTCATCATTCCAGGGCAAGAGTCATTATGACAAATAGAGCAGGTGTGTTAGGGAGGGAACCAGACACAACCTCCACTGGCTGTAGTTGGTCTTACACACCTAACTATCCTCCTACTGACCCTCCGATGATGACTGTTCTCCTTCAGAAAAGAGGTTAATAATGGTTCTAACCCCCACTGAAGGGGCCTGCAATGCAAAAGCAAATGGGAAGATGCTGTAGAAAGACGAGCAGGAGTTCTGGGTGGGGTGAGTGGACAGGCTGTCAGGGTGCATGGTTCTCAGAGGTGTGAGACTGTTCGCACTAGTTGGGTGATCATTGAGGTCTTAATGCCAAAAATCTTTCTTCACTGACATCAGACTCTTAGAGGGCTTCATGGTAGAAAAAATACATTACACTGTCCTGAAAAATATACACAAAGCTGCCCTTTAGTTAAAGTCAGTTTCATTTAGTCATTCATGCAGCAGCACTGAAATGTACAGTGAACCTAAAGGTATGAAAGAAAGTTTGAAAAGGCCCTTGACCTCTTAGGGGTCATCTTCATCACTGCTGGTGGAACACAGCTTGTGACAGGCACTGTGCCTTTCACATGCGTTACCGGCTTAAATCTTACGCACTCGATGGAGTTGGTGCTGTTCAACTCAATACTGCTTAGCAATAAAAGAAACAGGCTTAGGTTGATTTGTGAAGGCCGCTCAAAAAACTCATCATCAAAACTGGAATTTAAAGAATATCTTGACTCTACCACCCAGGTTAGCTCTTGTGCCATTCTGTCTCCTTAGGGCAACACGATAAGGGTTGTAAGTGAGATGCGAGCACAGTGCCGTGCGGAGGCAGGATAGAGTAATAATAACGAAATTGGCCACATGCTTCCAATTGTGTGCCATCCTCATCCACACTAATGCTAATGTGTTGTGCTGTTTCAATGTGTGCTACTAAAGCAGTGCTTGCAGGCATCCATTGCTGTTAACAATTTTAAAGATGAAAAGTCGTCCCTGTTCCACCACGTCTAGGTGAGGTGACACCTGCCTGGACCAGAATACCCAAGAGGCTCCTTCACTCACATCCCTGGTGGGTGTATGGTGTCTGAGCTGCGGTGGCCAAAACAGAGGACTGGCCATCATCACCCGTGTGACACCAAAGTAGACAAAAGTTGCCTCAGAGTGAGCATTGCCCGGATAAGGGACCTACCAAGCTTCTTAGGACGTAGCCTTGGAAATGGTGTTTGCATTGCATTCTGTCGGTCAGTAAGTCAGGCACTCAGACTGAAGGGAAGCCAGGTGGAGAAGTGGACTCCACCCGCCTTTGGAGGGTCGGCTTGGGTTGGGATCTATGGCCATCCTGGGGGTTAGACTGCCACAGTCGAAGATCTGTTTTTCTCTGTGGCATCACCAAACTTTGTAGTTCATACATAGTCATGGGAATACTTACTGATTGACTTGGTTCTAGATAACTTCTCTGTATGTTACATGCTGTTAGTTGTGGGAATTCAGGAGCACCACAAGGAATCAGACCCCAGCCCTAGCGTCAAGATTTAGAATAGCCTTCACAAGATTTTCAAGACCCAACTTGTTTCTCTGGTTTCAATTTTTAAGAGCTTCTAACTTAGCTGCCACCAGCCAAGTTGTCTAAGATCTAAAACTAGACCTCCCACATTCATTTTCCTGAAATAGCTGAGCAAGTGAAATGATTAATGGAGGGGTATGTGCCTGCACAGTGTTAATCACGCCCGCTTCAGTCTTCTAATTGCGCTCTCCAGAGGCCTTGTCACGCTGCTCTTCCCTACGTCTGCCCCTAACCAGGCTCTCTTCCTCCTGCTCTTGGCTCAGACTTGCTGTGCCTGCGTACATCAGGGCCATCTGCTGTGCACCCCTCCGCGTTTCTCCCCGACAGCCGTTCTTAGCGTTGATTACATTGTGGTTTCATCTGGGTCTCCCTGTCGGTAAACCCCGGGAGCACAGGCACCCATCTGTCTTCCTTGCCAGTGTGTGTCCAGGGTTTGGCATGATGCCCAACACGCTAATTAATTTAATGAACGTTTGAATTAGCAGATGGACTTTCCAGTAGAAATAATGTTATAAAAGATGGTTAAGATCGAGAACGGGCTCTTGAGAAAATTTGCCTAAATGCAAATATCCTTGAAGGATGGATGTGGTGGTGTGTGACATCATCGGTTCCCCAAACAAGCAGGGGAAGTCTCTACTGGAAAAACAGCTTAGGGGAAGGAGAGAGAAGTGAGTGTGTGCCTGGCAAGTGCTGTCATAGTCTGAGCGCCCAGGAGTGACAGCTCCTACCTGTGTAGCAGTGGCTGTGACCAGTGCTAGGGACACAAGGGCTTATATTGAAGGTGGCCCATTGAACAGACAAAGGCCTTTGCAAACTGAAAAGCAGGAAACACTGGGTACTTCAACTGCCACTGAAAAGAAACCAAGACAACCTCTGCCCTCCTGGCCCCAGGGGGCAATTCCACTTCATACCAAGCATGCCAGCCTTTGTGTCAGGAAGGAGAAGGCGATGGAACTAGGGCTTAATGGGGCTGTGCGCACTCCCTGGAGACTGACTGCTGTCGCAGTGTTGTGTGTGCATCCACGGGCGCTTCAGAGAGCTCATGGGAAATGGAATTAAAAGTTTGTTTTTGGTGCAAAAAAAAAAAAAGTTGAACTTCATCCATAGTTTTTTCATGATAAATGTTTTCCTTAAATTTTTGGAAAATCCCTCATTCCTGCCTTTCAAAACTTTTTTGCACCAAAATAAACTTACCTCCTAATCCCATTGCCCACAGCTTTCTG